AAGTACAACAAGCAATTTATTCAATCATGAAAACATAAAAATGTGCCAAAAGGGCGGAACAGTAAAGAAAAAACATGAAACGAGCAAACAACAGAAACAAGATGATGGTTCTTGGTACTTACATTATGTTATGGCATAGTGCCACTTTGGAAGTCAGCAATCAATGAATGAGTGTTATGTACGATTGAACTAATAATGACTTGTGTTGATAATGAATTACGATTGAACTAATAATGACTCTCCTTATCGATTCGGGTTCTATTAATATTTGAAATCGATGCTAGATTCGCAATTTTCCGCAATGGGAATGGTCGTTACCTTTGGATACTGCTTACCTAGGTATTATCGCGGGGTGAGCGGTTTCTTTGCAAATTATAAAGGAAATGACTCCGCTGACCTGATCGAAACTACAATGTACGGAATGTTTTAATTTGGAAAAGTTAATCAATGATAAGAGATCTTGGAATGAACGAGAGTTTGAGTGATGTTAATTCATAGGCATTTATACTTCTTGACAATACGTTAGGTATGTATATAAAAGACAACATATCAGACATACTTACATGGGGATGAAAAATAATTTTATAGTCTACATATTATCAATTTCATATAAAACTTTTGTATGGCAGAAATGGTTTGCCTCTTAGAGAGGGAATTTGATTGAGGGGACCATGTGAGTATACCTCACCAATTAATTAGGTTCGGTAAAAAGTTACAAAAAATTATTCTAATCCTGTACTCCATGTTTGTAACATAATGAACAATAAGAATATTAATTTTGACAATGATAAATGGAATGTGAAGTGACATTTGAGATAGAGGCAAAAATATGGCATCAACATTTTCACTCAAAAATGGTATCATCGTTTAGTTTCGATAGCATTCACCTTTTTAGAAATAAATCGATTTCAACATTCTGTTGCATCATCATGAAAATGTGCTTCTTTCTCAAGGTTGCCTACCATAATTATTCTTTTATTCATTTTTTCATTGCACCCTCGATATTTCATTCCAAAACATCGAAGGTAGATCCATCCCAGAAAACAAACCATGATTTGTGGAGAAAATCAGACTTTTTCGAGAACATTGAAATCACTTTGCAAATCCATTGTAGCTAATAGAAATTTATTCCATTTCTATATCGAAGTTGTTGACAAATAGAAGAACCTGTCTATTTCCTAGTGGTCCGAGTGTTTTTCAAAAATTATGGTTTGTTGGGGAAATATTCCTTCTTTCAACATTCAACTCCGATGTTTTGATTTATGATATCGGAGGTGCAATGAAAAGGCTGAATTGAGAAATAATTATGGGTTCCCCTTATAAAGAAAAAGCACTATTTTCATTCTTTTCATGCAGTATGAATGACGAATAGAACAATTTTAGTCATGATTTAGGAGATACGCAGCAGCATTATTTTAAAATCGTTTTATCTCGAAAAGGGTGAATTCTATCGAAGCCAAACCATTTTTGATTGAAAAGTTGATATGTCCATATTTTTTAGTCAAACAGCTTCAAAATTATCCCGACCCGAAAATATCTTGAACTGGCAACTTTCTCATAATAATCACGCAAACATTCCTCATTGTGGAGGAATAGATCGTCATGATTTGAATGAGAAGAAATCAGAATACAATACCTATAGAGTATTGGAAAACTATGCACATGATTATACAGAGGGTGATTCAAAAGTACTCTGACAAACTTCAGGAGGTGATTCCTCTATAATTTGTCAAATATGAATTAACCAAATGAGTATATGCCCGGAAACGCTTCGTTAAAGTGCTACTTTGTAATTAGTGTTTCAAAAATTAACAAATTTCAACAAAACGTTTGAAACTGTCTAATTACCAAAAACACTTACTCAAATGTCCAATTTATTTTCTATAAGGCATTCTTGTGAAAAATGCAGAATGTTACTAACACATCCTTCTGATGTCAATGTGAAGTGTCAGAAAACGAGGGCGACCAGATACATCCGGAAATCAAATGGAACACCCTATACATCATGGTACACCCCCTTTTCTCCTTTAGTTTCAGAGGTAAGTGATCGAAATGTGGAATGACTCATCAACTTGATAAACGTCACGTTTTGACATGAATATGTTTCATTTTTCACTTCCGGTTTCACTGGAAGTGGTCATAGCTTTTGATTTTCAAATAAAACACCCAAAGATACCATATGAGAGACATTTCAAACTTCAATATTGATTTTAATTTCATTTCTGATTTTCCATCTGAGTGTGCCATGACTGTTCTGATAAGAGTCTGATATACTCATATTGACAGGTTTAACGCTGAAAAAAGTTGAATTCTGTTAGCAGATATAATAAACAAATCTTTTGTGAGCGGAGTATTTCCCTCTAGTTTAAAGACAGCAGTTGTCTTGCCTCTTCACAAGGGAGGTGATATCTCCTGTCCCTCGAGCTTCAGACCAATTTCATTACTGTCTACTTTATCAAAACTCATTGAAAAATTAGTAAAGAAAAGGTTATTATAGTTTTTATTGAATGAGAAACTTTTAAATGAATACCAATTTGGGTTCCAGAGTTTAAAAAGCACTAATGATGCTATTTTTACTTTTTTGGAAAATGTTTACATGAATTTGAAGGAGGGGGAAGCAATATCAGCAATATTTTGTGATTTTTCAAAAGCTTTTGATTGTGTTAAACATGGAGTATTGCTGCAAAAAATGCACTGTTATGGCATAAAGAGAACTTGTCTTGAGTGGTTCAGGTCGTACCTCGAGAATAGATCGCAAATGGTGAAAGTCCGGGGTACCTCAGGGATCGGTTTTAGGACCCATTTTATTCCTACTGTATGTGAACGACCTCGCTACAATCGATATCCAAGGATCATTCACAATGTTTGCAGACGACACAACAATATTATGGCATGGTAAAAATACTGAGGCTGAGGACTTGAAACAAGTCATATCTCGAGATCTAGTGGAAGTTGAGCAATGGTGTGATTCAAACTCCCTCTGTTTCAATGTAGATAAGACGAAACTCGTGAACTTCAAATTTAGCTACGACAATTTGCAACTGGATGGAAATAAGGTTGAAGAGACGGATTGTACTAGATTCCTTGGATTACACATTGACAATAAGTTAAAGTTCAAAGAACATATCACATCCTTGTGTAAAGAGTTGGCTTCAGGGTCATTTGCTGTAAGAATCGTCGCCAATGAGCTTGATTTATCTACCGCTAGATTGACTTACTTTGCCTTAGTAGAACCCCATCTACGGCATGGCATTGGTTTTGGGGATTCTGTAGTCAACAACTCTTGAACCAAGTTTTTGTACTACAGAAAAGATCGATCACATATATGTAGGGCAAGCTTCAGGGATAGCTGTAGAAGTCGTTTCAGTCAATATCGAATACTAACAGTCATCAGCATCTTCATTCTCGAGGTAGTATGCCTGATTCATAAAGTGTTGCTAATTTACATGGTGATAGGCCTCATAGTCACAACACAAGACAAACCTCTAATATTTACCTACCAATACCAAAGCTGACTTTGACAAAACATTCCAATATCTACGAAGGAAAACTGATTTTCAATCACTTAGGTACCAGAGGAACTGAAGCATATAAGGAATATTAAAAAGTTCAGAAAATCGGTAAAGGATTTACTGCTCGAAAAAGCTTATTACAGCCTACAAGCAGAGTACTATGATGACAAATTGCTGGTACTATCAGTATGATGTTATGTCTGTCTTTCTTCTATTTTTAATGTTTTATTATTATTCAATCTTATTTTCATACTCATACTTGTTTTTTTTTATTTATTATTTACGAGATAGTGCATATCATTCATATGTTACTTATGGTGTTAGTGTCGAACTCTTTTTATATTTTTTGATACAATTGCATTCAATGTACATGCAAGGTTTGTTTTTTTATTCTATTTCATCAATTATGTATGTTGTGTAATATCATTACTTTGTCAATGAGAATTCTTTCTTGGACATTAAAGTATCTATCTATCTATCTATCTATCTATCTATTGTGAAATTTCTCGATTTATCACCAATTTGAGTTCATCAAAATTGGTTGGAGTACCATGATCCTGTTAAACCCAATATATTATCAAATTTTGGGAATCTCCATGCAGAGCTGAATTCGAAAATATAATACACATAGAGTTTGTATTCAGTGCGTCTGTTGAATATGGTGCTCTTATAAGATAGGGAATGAATTCAATTCAAAGGAATTATTTTTGGACAGAACGCTCAAAGCCGTCGATTTTTATTTTATTTCGGGCAGCCTTTCAAATTCAATCAATTCATACATAATGATTCGTGTAGAGAAAATTGTACAAGAGCACTGAACTCAACGGACGCACTGTATACAAATCCTATGTGTGAAATAATTCGGAATCCAGCTTCTCATAGTGATTCCAAACATTCAATAAAATATAGGGTGTTCCGTTCCGAGAAAACTGTCGCGGACATCACGACTCAGAAGTGGATCACCCTGTATTTTCGATTTTCCGTTAGGAATGTGGCAAATTAAAAACGAAAATCAATGTGTTTCAGGAGATTCCTCAGAGATAGACAGTTTGGCGAAAAATCATTCTATCCACTATTTTACTAGATCACTAAATTTAACGGACGCACTGTATACAAACTCTATGCGCAATATTTTTCGAACTGAGCTTTCCATGGAGATTCCAAAAATTGAATAATATATAAGGTTCTCTATTTGAAAAATGTATCGCGAACGTCATAACCAAAACATGGATCTTCCTGTAAGTATATTTAATTTTCCCTTATAAATGTGACAAATTGAAAATTGACGAAATACCTGTTGCAGGATTTGTCTCCGAAGTCGCCTATTTTCGAAAAAATTGATTTATTTCATAATTTTGCCTCTCACCTGTTTTTGAAGCAAGGATTTTTTCTCAAAGTCACCACATAAAGTCGAACATACTCTATATGTGTCATTCCTTGTTTCATGGAACGTGACATTTTGGGACGAATCATCTGATTTGTCCTCACTACAAATACTTATTGAAATAATACTAATATTCATATTCAATGAAGATATTACAAAATCTAGTGGAACAATTTATTATATCATGTCGAAAACTTAAGAAAATTGTAACAATTACAGTTCTTCCTTCCATCCTGAATCACCTTCATCAGTTTCTTCTGAATTAACCTTCTTATCTTCACCGTCCCAGGGCTCTATGACATTGATTCGAGGCAATTCCTGTGTCTCCACAGCAACCGTGGGGCTCTTACCATAAGATAAATCCCTAAAGAACTCCTGTAGTCCCTCCTTTGAAAATGAACCCTTGAAAACGGTTGACTTCAGCTTCTTGTAGTTAATTACAACCATCGCTGGATACCCGTAACCCCCGATATCCAGAGCCTTCTCTAACTCAGGCTGAGCCCCAGCTTCAGACCACACCCAGCCCCATTTCTTCTTCTTGAACTTCTCCCCCATGGCGTTCAATAGCTTGATATAGTCGTTTCTGCATTTGGACTGGCAGTCCAATATCTGTGGCAAAATGGTCAAGACACAGAGATGGGTATCTTCGCAAGCTGCCCTCAGGGATTTTTCGTCAACTATTTGAGATACATTCGGAGCTGGGGTAGTCTCAGCTAGTTTTTCTACTGCCCAGTTTACAATATCGATGCTAGAACGGCCGCCGTCGTAGTCAAGCGGTGACTTTTTGGAACCAGCAGCAAAGTACTTGATCGTGGGATAACCTTGTACTCCATACTTCTCTGATTTTTCTGGGTTTGCTGTTGCATCTATAGCACCCAATTTGACTTTGCCCTTTAGTTCAGTAGCTGCTTTGGTCCATTCGGGAGCTAAGTTTTTGCAGTGACCGCACCACGGGGCGTAGAATTCAACCATCCAAGTATCATCGGTAGTCAGAACAAGTTCATCAAAGTTTTCGTCTGTGAGTGTAATGACATCGCTGGGTTTCGTGGAGCCACCTTCAAGGAACGCTTTGATCTTGTTCCTAGCAGCTTTCAAGACTGCCCCAGCTAGGCCTTTAGCTGTTTTTTCTGCTTCGAAAGGTTCTGGTTCGTTCTTGTCAGCTCCGAAGATCTTGATTGTTGGGAAGCCTTGGATTTGGTATTTCTTACCAAAGTCTCTGTACACTTGCACGTCTAGGTCCAAATGCATAGCGCCAACTTTGGCAATACCCCTTAGAGCTTCTGCAGCTTTGACGTATTCTGGTACTAGGTTTTTGCAATGTCCGCACCAAGGAGCGTAGAACTCTACTAGCCACATTTCCTTACTTTTGATGACAAGATCTTGAAAGTTGTCGACGGTTAGGTCTATGACGTCCTCGTTATTTTCGTACAAGGCCGAGCAATGGTGTATAGTAGAAAACGTGACAAGAAACATTAATGATATGATCAACATGATTATTTTCGAGATAAGTTCAAGTTAGGCAAAAGTATTATTCAGTTTCAGTGTTTGTAACTCGCTTCAACTAAATATGTCAATATTTTGACATGCCCAGATGATCAGATTGGAGTTGTGAGATCTGAAGCGTGTATACGAGGTCTACTCATTTCCTGTTTTTTTTTTTAGATCAGCTTGAAAACTCAAAACTGATTTGTAGCAAAAAATGATTATGAATAACAAATTTTATATGTATGGAATGAACGAGATATAGCACAAGGATACGTTTTTGAACAAAATCACCTAGTCAACGGCGTGGATGTGCTATTCAAAAGTAACAAAATCGGTCAAATCGGCAATGTTTTTGTCAGGTTACTATTACCATTTGAGAACTGCCATTACATACAATGAACATACAGTAGGTATGATGCAAATGAAAGGAATGAATTCATTTCTGGCCAAACTGTCTATTCTTGAGGAATTTCCTGAAACATGTGAGTTTTACTTTAATTTTTCGACATTTATAAGTGAAAATTGAATATACAGGGTGATCCACGTTTGAGTTTGAGCACTCAATTTAACGAACGCACTGTAAACAAACCCTATGGGTAATATTTATTTAAATTCAGCTTTTCATGGAGATTCCAAAATTTAAATAATATATAGGGTGTTCCATTTGATAAAATTAACTCGGACGTCAGAACTCAAACGTAGATCACCCTGTAGGTATATTCAATTGTCAGCTATAAATGTGGAAAATAGAAAATTACAATCGACATGTTTCAGGAAATTTTTGAAAAATAGACAGTTTGGTTGGATATGAATTTATTTCTTTCATTTGCACCATAAAGTATACATATTAGGTCTATCTGAAGTCCTGATGCCAACGTATACCACCGATGGATGTCCCTTTGGACACATTCCGAATCGTATCCAGGACATTCTGAGGACGTCCTTGGGACGTCCATAAGACGTTGTACTCATGACATCTTATGAAATAATATTCTCTGAAAAATATTTTTTTTTCACTATAGGAGTCCCTTCCGAAATCATAACCCAGATAGCACGGGACGTCCCGAAGACGTCCATTTTAGATCCATTTTTGGTCTGAACGTCCAGGACCTTTTATGGACGTTTTTAAGACGTCCATTATTGGACATACTCCGGACGTCCAGAAAAAGACGTCTTTAAAACGTCCAATTTACAGACTCTCGCGGTATATCAGTTTAAATTGATATAAGTAGGTAGGTATATATAAATTTTGAAATTAGAATTATTGAATTGAATATGGACATGAATAATGTCAAAAAATATATTATATATCAGCTGTATCAATATATTGAATTTCATTTTATTAATAATATTATTAATTTGAAATATTTATGATTTTAACTGATTTGTACCAACTTATATAGTTATGTTGAATCATATTCCTTCAATCACATAATACCTATACAGTTTGACCATTCTTAAACCCACACTGAAGTATTCATACAAGCCGCGCTTTTATAATAAGATTTGATTGAATCACTGAATATGTGAAGCAACCGTAGAACGCATGCGTGCTCAGCGTTGCCAGACTTACTATTTTAGCAGTAGATCTTTTGTTTTTGTCTCCGTTCTACTGTTCAACTATTCAAGGCAATGGTCTGATTGGTCAAGTTTTGATATGACGTAACTACCCAATATGCAACAATGAAAAATTAATGGGACATCACAATAAGAAGATGTATGATATAAAAATATACTGCAACTATCATATTCAGTCTGATTAGTGAAAATTAGCTTTTATTTCCAATCTGGTTGCGGTTTTCACAAATTTTATTTTTTATTTCATTATTCTTTGTTATTCTTCGTTCGATTTTTGATAGGTATAGAGACCGAACATAATTTTTTTTTCTTTTATTATATAGGTGACTATGTTTTTTCATTTATGATAGCAATTGTGATGATTATCAAAATCTTCTGTTCAGTTTTGATGATCTACTGTTTTTTCCCCACCCATCTACTGCTCCGACAAATTTTCATCCGGCAACACTGTGCGTGTTACGTGTGAAACTGTGAAACGAAAACGTAAGAAGATGGCGTCCGTCAACCGTCAGTGGACCACTGCCGAGTGCCGATTAAACTGTGATTCAGGTCCAAGGACATTCTGAACTTTTCGGGTTATTAGACTGTAAAAGCAGTGAATAAGTGAAATCTTTGCGGATATCATCTATCAACTGGTGAACTTCGATCTCGAGTTCCATCGAGATGTTCATTTGAAGGCAAGTATGGCTATCGACGCTATCGTTTTATTTTCATTCGCATGAAGATGCTTGAGTAAGAACATCAAATCTGTAGTTGAAAACATTAGATACCTTTCTAAATAATTTGATCTCATGCAAAGCTCAACCTAATCTTATTTTCATCATCTACCAAAGTTTATATTTTTGTATATAGTTAAAACATAATATAATTCGTGCAAGGTTCATAGAGGTTATATAGGTACCTACCTAAGAATCAGTTTATGTATGGAATAAGTTCTCAATGAAATAAAAATAATGAAGTATTCCGCTATACTGACTACTACACGTTGAAAGTGGGTGTGTGTTTATGGTTTATGGTATTCACAGAAGATGTTATTGAATATTATTATTTACAGATCCAGTGAAGAAGACAACAGAAGGCTGCCAATCAGAAAAAGACATCATCGCGCCTGCGTACCTGGATGAATCACGCGACGTTTTTAGTGGTGCAGCTGCTGATATACGATATGGAAGAGTGAAATTGAAACAACTACCTGAATCTCTGTTCATATTATTGTTTGCGAATAAATGTTAACTAATATTCAAGTATTTCACTCTTCAGATGGGTCAGAAAATCAATAATCAATATTGTCTGAATGTCCTCAATACGTCCATTTTTAATCCCAAAAAGGTCCTAGTCTGGACCTAAACTGGACGTCCCCAAAACATCCTGATTATTAACAATGGACGTCCTCAAAACGTCCATAAGACGTCCGTCGTCCGGAAATGGACGTCCCCAAAACGTCCTGAATGTCCAGAGTGGACGTTTTTAAAACGTCCATAAGACATACTTGTGCTGATTGGGAACGGTTCATGTACCAATTGGGACATCCGATGGATGACCAAGGCACGTTGCGAATGTTATACGATCCTGGAAATATTGAGGGCGTCCATGCAGAGATATTTGAAAAAATGTACCGTCTGGGACATCTCATGGTTGTTCTAGAAGAGAAATTATATAAGAACTGAAATCCATGCCAGAATATGTACCTATACCTGGGACTTCCGATAGATATGTTCCTATAAAAGGACGCTAAAGGATGCTTTTTCTAGGACATTTGAAATGATGTACCAGCTGGGACATTCCATGGACGTCCTTGGTCGGACTTTGCATCAGATGTACGGGATGGGACATCCCAAGGACACTTATTTTAGGTTCGGTACATACGGACTGTACCAAATAGGGATGTCCCTACGAACTGGTTAGCAACCAGAGCTGGGCCGGGTACTGATAAATTGTACTCGAGTACCGGGTACCGGGTACTGTTTATAATTGAAGAACGAGTACAGAGTACCGAGTACCCCACTCATTGGATGTACTCAGAGTAAAGTACTCCGAGTACAAGTACCCGAATTTCACGGGTACTCATTTCAAGTACATTTGAATAGAGAATTGAGAAATTTTGCATCAGTATTAGTAACCATATTTATTAAACAAAACAACTTAACTTGCAATACTATACCCTTACCTCTCAGTTCAGTGTGTTTTAGTCTTAAGAAAACAACAGAAACGATACAAAAAACACTTGACTCTATAACTGTTACACAGTGTACAAAACAAAAACTCCGCGTTTGGTTCTGATTGAAGTGCTGACTGATAATGATGATATAACTTATAACAGCGGTTTCCCGTGTTGCACTCGCATATGCACAGACAAGTTTATTCTTGCAAAAAGTACCCGGAAAATGTACTCGTTTAATAAACGCGGGTACCAGGTACTTTTCCCGAAATGCTACGGGTACGAGTACCGGGTACTTTATTGAAAATGTACTCGGGTACTGGGTACTGAGTACACAAAATGTACTCAGAGTACATTATTTGAGTACTTGTACTCGAGTACCATCGAGCAACCATCATCGACCAATGCCAAAATCACCCAGCACGCATAATTTATTCTGACAATTAGTAAACACAGCGTGTTTTCATTCGAAATCGCCTTCAAACTGAAGTTGATTTATTGCATGCGGGTAAGAGTTTCATGTATTGTTTGGAAGACCAATTTTGTGGTGAATTTACTTATATTTAGTGAAACAAAAGAGACCTTCCTCAAGTAAGGACGAAAAAACAATAGTTAGCTGAAAATGGACAACATATGGCAGAGGGAAACATAATGAAATCATAGTAGAAGAGGAAATAACAATCGAAAAATAAAAATCTATAAATCGAACATCGTTTCCACATTCTTCTGAATGAAGATAACAACATTGTTCCCTGTTCGCAGTTGATAGAAATAGATCGAAACATGGCATTCACTACTAAAATTTGCATGCAAGTATAAATATGGTAATTAGCAGATTCGTCTCCGAAACGTCCAAAAGATAAGTGAGCTTTACTATTTTTCAATAGCCCGGGGTTTATTCGTTTTCTTTAAACATTTTTCAAACAATGTCGTGTCACTGACTATCGATTGAATTTCTCCTTTAGGTTTATAATGGTGAAATCTTAAACGAACTAACATTTTGGGGCAAATCATCCGATTTTGTCTTTACTACAAGTATATTGAAATAATACTATTATTATATTATTAATATTATCATTTTAGAGACTTACAGACAAAATCCCAAAACATCTTCAGAAATTAATTCTAAGATGGAAGCTCATCAATATGGTTTACTTTCAACTCCAATTTGTCATCACGCATGTACAGGGGGGTTTGAGAAAAGTGTTGTTCTCAAAACACCCTGTATTTTATTGCATTTCTTTCTGATTTCAAAAAAATATATATTTCTACTTAATAGGACTGGGTGAACCAAAAGCACTTGTAATTGATTGAAACTTTTGTCATAAAATAATGCTATGGTTGAGCTGAAACAAATATTGAAAAAAAATATTGGCAATGTGAAATGTCAGTTCAATCATAGCCTACTTGGATTCAATCAGATTACTTATTCATAACTTAAATTTTGTTTTCAAATTTCATCACATCGTATCACCCAGTATTTTTCTATGAAATATTGAAAATTATAAATATTTTTGAAATCATGAAAAATAAAACTTCTCTCTCAAAATACCTACCACTGTTTAAAAATATGCAATAAAATATGTTCCACTGAAAAAACACTTTCAAACACCTTTTATAGAATTAAAAAATAATAGAGTTACTTCTCGATATATCTTCATTAGTTTTCGAGATATCTAGTGTTAACATTGTGAAAACTAATCAATGTCTAAAATTGATCTTTTCGAAAAAAAATACTGTTTTAAGTCAATCATAGCAAATTTGGATTCAATCAAATTATTTCGGATTATTTATACATAACCAAAAATTTTGTTTTCAAATTTCATCACATCGTATTACCCAGTATTTTTCTATGGAACATTGAAAATTGAATATTTTTGAAATCATGAAAAATACCTCTCATTTAAAATACCTACCTCTCTTTAAAAATACACAATAAAAATATGTTCCACTAAATAAACGCTTTTCAACACCTCCTTCATGAAGAATATAAAAATGATAGTTACTTTTCAATATCTTCATTAGTTTTCGAGATATCGAGTGTTAAAATCGTGAATTGATCTTTTCGAAAAAAATACAGTTTGAAGTATATTGAACGAAACCCAAATTTTTCAATCTAGAACCTTGTTTCATTTGTTTTCGGTAAAAATGAACTATGGACATGAAAAATAGGGGTGGAGAATACTTGTTTTTATATAACCTTGTTTATTTTTGAGTTAGGACTAAGTTGAGTGGTGCATAAATTTGCCCAAAGCAAACTTGTTTCTTCCAGATGTTTCGAGGAAATAGTTGTCGTATTTTTGAAGGATTATAAAGTCAATTTCTATATAATTTTCATACTGGAACACTAACATTTAAGTAGGTATATTTTAGGTAGGTACCTTCTTGCACAATAGACCCAATCAATCCATATTTCAAAGGTCAAATGAATTAATGATAGGGCCGCAAACAACAGCTGAAAGTGTTGAAAGATAATACATAATATCTAATTGGTCGTAGAAAAGTTACGACTAACCCCTCCTTGACCAGGTGTATGCGGGTGATTTAAAATTGAACGGATAAAGGTATAGTTTTCGATAATCATGGCCAGTTTAAAATACACTCCAAACCAGACAGAAAGTTTTAGAAGACGAAGAAAAAAAGCACAATGCAGTACCAATCTGCCTCGTGCATGTATTCAAACAATAAATTCTCGAGCGAATCTATTTGGATGACTGGTGCTCAAATATCAACGGCAGATGGTTATCAGTTCGGTCCGACAGACAAGCAGCCTTTGAGGGAGAAGAATAAGAAGAATTTCTCTTGCAAACACGTGCCTCACAAAGAGAAACCTCCTCAGGTTGTTGCGAGGAGGAACGCGAGAGAAAGAAGACGAGTCCAAGCTGTCAACACGGCTTTTGTTAGACTGAGAAAGGCCATTCCCTACCAGAATTCGAGGTAATTTGATACGATTTTGGTTCAGTGTTGATAATGTGGAGTCATATAATATCATGTTTCAGACAGATAAAAAAATATCCATGAATATTAAGAAATAAAGACGGATTATTTGATGGTCAGATGGAACTAATAAATTATTTGCAGCAGATGCCTTGACTGAATTCATAGAGCTACATAATTTTTTAAAATTGAATTTCCTCACCAACTCAACATTTTCCATCAGTTATTTCTCTCGAAAAACTGACATTAGACAAAATTGCTCGACCTATACGGTCTCGCAATTTTTTCATGTCAGTTTTTCTCGTAAAATTACTGATATGCAAATGTTTTTCGTTACCAAGAGAATTTTATCCGATAAAAAAAGCTCTTGTGTTTTTACTATTGAAAATGATTCTGTCAAAAATTTCCATCGAAAGGAGTATAATGAAAGTGGCTTTTCTCTCACAACAGGCAGGAAAGGTGTACTTTCTCTGCCTAGACAGAAAAAGTTTGTTTATTGGCATGTAACATTCCAAGTAATTTGAATGAAATAAGTAATCAAAATTGACACTGACATTGGGTGAACATAAAATGATGGAGTTTTCAATAAAAAAATACACAAAATTGGTTTTATAACTTTTGGAGAAAAAATTGTATGTTTCACACGGCAGCAAATGTATAGATTTACTGCCTTGGCTGAATTTATAGGCTTCCTACGCTCGGCTATGAACTATCAGCCGCGGCAGTAAATCTATACTACTTTGCTGCCTAGTAAAACAAATAACTATTTTTCTCTATTTTTTCCTGAAAAATAGAAAAAAAGGGATATTTTGTTGTTTGTGAATTATCATCACTATACGATGACTTTTCTTATCGGTTGTGCCAGTTGTGCATAGCCAGGAAAGTAGTTGTTTTCTGTTGAATAAACCGAGAAAGAATTGATATTTTCATCACATAGGGAATGCGAATAATTCTCAATGTATTTCTTTATATATATACAGGGTGATCAGTTAAGGGTGCGAGCGGCCATATCTCATAAGATATTGGTCGTATAGATTTGAAAAAAAAATAATGGTAAAAGTCGCCAAGAGAAATTGCTGGAAATTATTTTCGAGTTTGTCAAACGTCCGCTAACACCCAACACCAAGTAAAAAAATCGGATTTTCATCGAATTTTGTCTCATGAAAGTATGTCGATGATATCATTTTCATATTTACTGACCATTTCCCTACATTTTTTGTCTGAAACGTTTTGTTCTAGCTATCAAAATGAAGCGGTGGGGGAAGTTCAATTGTTTTTTCAATCAAACCAAGATTTCTCCCCGTTTATTTCGACCGATTTTAGCAAACTCAGGGTGATATGAAAGAGCATAATTTGTCATACGAAACGCTTAATTGGTTTTGAATTTTTGACTTCTGCTGTCGCCGCTAGATGGCGTTAACTGAAATGTTAACAAATTTTTTAGTTTTTTTTTTTCAAAAATATCAAATCTAATGGTACATAAATTTTTATATGTTTTGAAAGAGGATAAATTTCTCTATATTTCAATGAAAATAATTTATCATCTTCCTTTTCTTGAATCGTTGATATTGACCATAATATAATTTTATTACATTGAAAAATGGCACGCCACTGTTTTTCATCAAAATAAAAATCAGTTTTGTAATCTCTCATTATTTGCTTACAAAAATAACCTACTGACTTTTTTTCGTTAGACAAACGGTTTTGGATTGAGAAAATAAAATAGGTTTACATGGGGCGCCCATATCTAAAATAATTTTGAACCAGTATGTAAACCTATTTTATTTTTCAATCCAAAACCCTTTGTCTAACGAAAAAAAGTCAGAAGATTATTTTTGTTAGCAACTAATGAGAGATTTTTTTATTTTGATAAAAAACAGTGTTGTGCCATCTTTCAATGTAATAAAATTATATTATGGTCAATATCAACGATTCAAGAAAAGGTAGATGATAAATTATTTTCATTAAATCATAGAGAAATTTATTCTCTTTCAAAACATATAAAAATTTATATACCATTACATATGATTTTTTTGAAAAAAACTCAAAAATTTGCTAACATTTCAGTTAACGCCATCTAACAGCGACAGCAAAAGTCAAAAATTCAAAATCAAATAAGCGTTTTGTAGGGCAAATTATGCTCTTTCATATTACCCTGAGTTTGCTGAAATCGATCGAAATAAACGGGAGAAATCTTGGTTTGTTTTGAAAAAACAATTGAACTTTCCCCACCGCTTTATTTTGATAGCTAAAACAAAACGTTTTAGAAAAAAAAATTAGGGAAATGGCCAGTAAATATGAAAATGATATCATCGACATACTTTCATAAGACAAAATTCGATAAAAATCCCATTTTTCCACTTGGTTTTGGTCGTTACGCCCTCTAGCGGACGTTTGACAAACTCGAAAATAATTTCCAGCAATTTCTCTTGGGGACTTTTATCATGATTTTTTTTCTCAAATCTATATACGACCAATATCTCATGAGATATGGCCGCTTGCTACCCTTAACTGATCACCCTGTATATATATATCAATTTTTTTATGTTCATAATTATATCTGAGAATATTCCTTTTTGAAATTTTTCACTTTCTTATATATATACAGGGTGATCCACGGTGGATGGCCTATTAGAAGTATCTGGAGAACGAAAAGACAGCACATTCTAAAAATTGGGATGCTTTGATAATTGCACATTCTCTATCCGTCTAAAATATTTGCATCGATACAGTGTTGCCACTTCTAGAAACAACTAGCAACTTTGTTATTTCAAATGGAACACCCTGTATTTTATTGCATTTTCAGGGTCTTCCTGAAGAGCTGATTTCATCAATGCATCACACTTGGGGTCTAGCAGGAATGATTACAGAGAATTTAATTGGAAAAAATACAGGATGCTTCAAGATTCAGAATTCTGATCACCCTCTGTATCTGTTCCAATTAGATAATAATAATAATAGCGTCTTTAATCATTTAAAAATACATTTGAATTACAATGTTTTTAAGTGTTGGCGACATTCGGCTGCAGCCGTTCTTCCATGTAACCATGTAAATGTCAGTAGGTAGTGAATCGAAAGTTGAGATGGGGACATGTAAGCCGTTTTGATCGATAATGAATAGTTTCGACACAAAAAAATCCTAAAATTGAAAAATCTCGATTTTGAACACTCAATATATCTCTGTAATCATTCCTGCTAGACCCCAAGTGTGATACATTGGTGAAATCAGCTCTTCAGTAAGGATTTAAAAATGCAATAAAACACAGGGTGTTCTATTTGAAATTACAAAGCTGCTAGTTGTTTCTGATAGAAATGGCAACACTGTATCGACGAATGTATTTAAGACCGATAGAGAATGTTCAATTATCAAAGCATCCCAATTTTCAGAATGTTCTGTCTTTTCGTTCTCCAGATACTTTTAATTGGCCATCTACCGTGGATCACCCTGTATTGATACTTCCACGGGAAATGTTCTTCGGAAATCTCTGTTATCATTCCACGACTAGCAATACCACTCAGACGAACTCGACAGGCCCAGTCAGCACATCATTTCGTTGTCAACCTTGATATACCGGGTGACACAGGTTATCGGGCCACCCCTGTAACTTCTGCATTCGTCAACGGATTTTTCAGAAATTCTGTACAGTTATATAAGCAACCATTTCGGATTTGATCACATTACAATCCAAAATGGCGGACTTCTGGTTTTTCTGGAAATGCCAGCAATTTTGTTTTTTCAAATGGAACACCCTGTATATTTTCACATATCCAAGTTCAACAGGTCAAAACAAAGTGCAATCTTGATGTCAAATATCATTTATTCCACAGCCTACCTATTTGAACAATTATTCTAACTGCAAGGAAATTCATAAACTAGTTGTTGATTTTTGAATGTATACAATTTGTTACTGCACCGAAAAACAAAAATGATATGTCATTTTGTTCCTTATATAATGTATGTTCTAGAGAGACGGGTAGGTGGCCCATAGGGGTTCCATTTGAAAAAAAATAATTTTTGATCAAAAAGTGATGTGGCTGAATTGATTCCTGGATAAGTGACACAAAAAATAATTTTTCAGAAAAAATTATGTTCTTCTGTTATGTGTGACTCATTGTGAATAGTCTTGACCACATCATATTTATCCAGGAGGTAAAATGAAAAAACAATTTTAATTTAAATTTTTTCGAAAAAATGACATTTGAAATGAAGATTGCACTTGTTTCGACCTGTTGAACTTGAATATGTAAAAATATACAGGGTGTTTCATTTGAAGAAACAAAGTTGCTGGCATTTCCAGAAATACCGGAAGTCCGCCATATTGGATTGTAATGTGATCAAATCCGAAATAATTGCTTATAGAACTGTACCGAATTTCAGAAAAATCCCTTGACGAATGCAGAAGTTACAGGGGTGGCTCGATACCCCGTGTCACCCGGTATATGTCGAACAACACTTTACCAAAACTCGTTCCTCTATAGTACGGCAAAAAAAACTCAACACCAACCTGCTTCTCTCCCTATCCTCCCTAAGTATGCCCGATGTTCTTGGAACATTTATGAATTTCCTCTCGTGCACTTCAAAAGATAAAATAAAACATAATTCCGAACCAAATTTTAAGCTATGGTCTTGTTGATGCCTGCTTTTGTGAAGTGGTCGTATTAGATTGTGTCCAATGAAGTTTTACTTCGCTTGTTACCATGAATGGCCCCACTTTGTCTATCTCATCCGCAGTGAATCTACTTTACTTTCATGAAATGACATCACAAATAAATTACTAGTTTTCCTGACCGAGTTTTTCAAAGACAAACTCGTATACGAACAACAATATTCAATCTTGCTTCAAACAGACTCTCTCTCCCTACATGTTTTTAATCCGCTGACATAAAAGTTGGTAACTCAGTTTGTAAAAAAAACAACATGTTCTTCAAGTTTTGTTGAATTAATTCGTATATTTTTTCCAAACGGTGTTTTTCACTTCTAACTATGAGGTTCCGTTTCATAATACCAAATTCTGATTTGAGTACATGCTTACTGATGTAGATGTAGAGGCACTGGTAACTGGGCATAATAATTTAAAATTCCTATATATATTTTTTTTCGAATTCAGAATTCTATGAACTTGCTGAACGCATAATTTGGAGCTCTACAAATTCAATCGAATTACTCTTTTCAGTTAGAATAGCGCCGATTCCATAATATTACAGACGTTTGAAAGTCACATCAGTAGGTTAGTGCATAGGGTATTCGTTCAACGCAGAATTTTATGTTCTCCATTTCTTGTTAAGTTCAAATTTTCGCTGAGAAGCACAGTTTTCGAGTAAAAAGCGATGACAAATAAAGTGTTCAAAATAATTTCTATCAAAAGTCACTATTTTACTGACCTACAAACCATTTATTCGATTAGTTTGGAACATGCGAACATTTTGATTCATTGATTGCCTTTCAGGATACCTTTCAGTAATAATTCTTCTAAATAACATTGTTTTCCTTGAATTTTCTTCGAAATTTTTAACAGGAAATAGTAGTTTTTTCGAATTAACATTGAAGTATCAGTCAGTATCTACAGATAAATGCTTGACTCATTACGTCTTCCGAACATCTACAGGATTCCTCTCAAAATTATCGATCTAGTTCTATATCCTGTGAAAATATCAAAATGTCAAAAGGGTAACATAAAATACAACTGAATAACGCCCTGGCCAATGATTTTTGTTGTCACCCGGTATAATACAATGGTCCAGAATTGTCTTCGATATTTATAGGGCTGACAGTAGATACAATAAAGAAAGTGACACAGTCTCATGCTATACCCCCCTTTTCTCCTTTGTTTTCTAGCTTTTTCTGAAATTTGAAACATCGAATATGCTCACTAGAGGGCATTTTCTCAAATTTTAGTAATTTTTGTTTTCATCTTCCGGTTTTCCTGGAAATAATATCAACTTTGGGTTTTCAAATGGGACACCCTTTATTTTATTCCATAATCGGTTAGGGAGTATTATTCAACGATACCGAGTTTGATTGGGTTATTTCAAACGATTACGAAGATATTCGCGTTCGAAGTTTCCATATGCTCAAAGATATTGCGCCGAACATAATCGTAATCATCGTAACAACTTTGGTGTAGATGAGTCTTACATATCTTCGATAAACTCACTATAGTTATTGTATCAAGTATGGAATAGTATGTCAGCCGTATTAGGCTGTTCACGTATAAAGAACTCTCTCGGATTCAAGTATAAATAATCATAGTTTTGCAAAAATTGTCATACTTCCTGTTTCTATTTCGCGAATACTAAGAGTCCTATAATAGTTATTTATGTAATAAGGATCATAAAGACGATCATTATGGTACAAGTCGTGAATGTTATCGGGCGAGGCGTAGCCGAGTCCGATAACACGGCGTGTGTCATAATGATTGTTTATGATTCGTATTACATACAAAATTTTATCTGATGGCATTTATATTAATACATTTTCGAAAAATTAAAAACTGCATTTTCGACATGTCACAATGACAACTATTTTTAAAGGAGTAAGTATTGTGTAGTTTCAAATATTAGTAGGTGAGTGAGCTGTGCTTTGCCATTATATTAATATTACAAATTGTAGTAATTGTTCTTTTACCATTTATAATAAATAGTTTTGTACATAGTTATGCATTTTGAATAAACTTTTTTACTTAGTACCATAATGAATTCATTATGGTACTTAGTCCCATAATGAATTCATTATGGTACTTAGTCCCATAATGAGCTTCCTTATGTCATCAAAATTGAGTGACATAACGTTGTCATTATGACATGCCATCAGATAAAAGAAATAATTGTAATCTTGTAAGTAATTTTGTGCAGCTTGATTTTGTACCGGGTGAACAACTAAGAACGGCTGCATTATTCGTTGCTGAGATATGAGTTGTTTACCCGGTACATTTTTTAGAAGAAGTAAGTAGTAATCTGCAAAAAACTGGAAAAATATACATTTGAACGCTTCCTCCAACCCATACATCATCGCAAATTGTCAGGAGCACTTTCCCCTACCGATACACTGAAGTATAGAACTACATACATGAGGGGGGGGGGTTCGCGGGCTTCAAAATCACAATATTTTTAAAAAGTGTTAAAAGAAGGGGCTCAGCTTAGAACAATGCAAACTATAGTGAGGTTTGCTCAGTAACAGGTAACAGTAACATGGAACAGAATTCCGTATCAAAATTGTAATGGAATTTTGTATGAATATGTTTCGGAATAACCCTTTTGAGTTTCGATTTTCTATATCGGGTGTCCCAAGTTATCGTATACAGGCAAATTCAAAAACTGTATTGAATGGCATTGAAGTACCCTCCTCATGACATAAAAGAATTTTGCAATCATTGTCATGGCACTCTTTCGAAAATCGGTTACAAATCGATCGAACTCTATTATTTTTGGATTCCCATAAATTGAGAAATGAAGAAGATTATCATATTGAGTGGAGTATTTTTGGATAGCTCTTATATGTTGTATGATACACATGTTTGCTGCTCCCCGTATATTATTTCAGATAGTGAAATTGAATCTGTTGATTCGAAAAGAAAAACATTCTCTGTTCTGTGAGGCTGTTTTTCTAATGTCAAAAATTAGTTATAGGGTGTGTGACTTTATAACGTGTCAGCCAGAACATACATATTGTATCATTATTCAGAGGCAGGAACTGTTTTTTTTTAGGGGGAAGAGAGTGAGTAAAGTCAAAACATTACAGAACGCCATCAGATATATACAAGAGTTGACTATTATATTACAGGAGGATCAATTTTACCACCCCTTCGAATATGATGTAAGTATTAGTAATATAATAATTCTGAATATCAATGTCAAGGTACTTCAAGAATTTAAAGATCTGTTTTCATAATGCCAAAAAAACGGTGATGTATTGTTCCTCATAAACAATCCCAATCGATATTTCGATATTTCACTTAGCAGAAATTGATTGCTATGTTTAGGCTTGCAAATGTAGTTTTTGACTTAAAATTTCAAATATGTTAAAAACGGGTAGACATAGGTATAGAACATTATACATGAAATATGACAAGAATTCTTCGTAGAATCTAGAAATGAAACAATATACATACGGTGTACTATTTAAAATAAAGAACCGGAAGTGCATCCATCTTGAATATATTTTAGCCAAATTGCCCTAATCAACAGTAGTATGCCACCAAATTTTCAAATCCGCTCTCATACTTTTCTAGATATTGATCGATTCAGTTTCCGGAGGGACACCCTCTATATTCGTGACTATATCGCTATAACATATAGATAATTTTGTATGTATCACGTGGGTAATAGTTATTCATGTATCAAGGGCGTAAAATAGGCTATTATGGACCGTAGCACGCCTATCCATAAATGCAAGTTACTACCGAAATACAAACAACATTTTATGCACGACCGGTATATTTTATGTACCTCTTCAACTTTCAAGCACGATGAAAAATACATCATGGTTCCAGTGGAGGATAGCATTGATGGAATCAACGTTACCATGGTAGCTCAGTCAATTTTTCGAAATAGGAGTACACTATCATAATAATATGCTGTCAATTTATGTCATCACAGATAACTTATTTTGGGTTGGGTCAAATCATTTTGCAACTCAGAAAAATTAAGAGAACTGAACCATGAACCACCACAACTGAAACATAGATGTCCTGAATAATACAGGACTGCTTATATTACGAGTTTTCAATCCGCAGGGCATTAAAGTGGTCCGCGAGCGCTAAAGTGTCACTTTACGCCCGCAAAACCGGGCAGTAAAGTGCTACTTCACGCCCGGTCATGCATAAAATGATTTCATAGCCTTCAGCGTGCAATAATTGAATTATTCACGCTGCAGGTACATAGGTACTTGACACATGACAAATAAATTATTATATATTTTTGTTTTCAGGATAGACATCCTGCTTCCAGATGTAAGAGTATTATTGACAGTCCATAATAGAGGTTACCGAGTACATAATCATGCTCCGGTCAGTTGGTTTCAATGAAGTCTATACTCTATTGAGAATTGAAAGTGCTGGAGTTGCTGATGAAATTGCGTCATAATCTGAATCAGAATGCAACCATGACTTGAGATTGTGTACTCCCACATTCATTCGTTTCTATTGCCCTAATGATGACGGACCTAAAACCACTTAGAGCTAACTGACCAGAGTTTCATTATGTACAAGGTGTGTCAAATTGGTCACATAATGGAAAAGTCCTATTTCCGTACGAGATATCTGAAAACCGCATATCGATATCTATCTTTATTTCAGAGTCCCAAGGTGTTTGTCAAAAATGTAAATTTTTGAAAAGTGGCTAAAACTCTTTTTTCTCCAAGCGGCAGGGATAGTGGCTTGTTCCTGCCGCTTAACAGGCGAAAAAGGTGTACTTTTACTGCCTAGGCAGGGAAAAGACAGGAAAAGTTCGTTGTTATGCAACGTTCCAAGAAATTCTGATGGAATTAGTAATCAAAATTGACACTGGCATTGGGTGAATACAAAATGATGGAGTTTTTAACAAAAAAATTACACAAAATTGGTTTTATATAATTTGGAGAAAAAATTCTGTTTCACACGGCAGCAAATATAGATTGACTGCCTTGGCAATCTACTACTTTTCTGCCTAGTAAAACAAATAACTATTTCCTACAAAAGACATTGAAAGTGTATTTTTAATAAAACTTAACAGGCAGAAAAGGTGTACTTTTACTGCCTAGGCAGAAAAAGTTTGTTGCTATGCAACGTTCCAAGTAATAATTCGAATCAAATTGGTAATCAAAACTAACACTGACGTTGAGTGAACACAAAATGATTGATTATTTGGAGTTTGCGTGAAATCGGACGAATTTGGAGACAAAATTTTATGTTTCATACGGCAGAAAAGCAGATTCAATGCCTTGGCTATGAAACGCCAGCCGCGTGTGGTTTTCAGCCTGGTAAAACAAATAACTATTTTTTTTTGTAAAACATTCTTTCTTTTTATGAAAACATTTCCAAAGCATTGTGTTTGTCATGAAAAATTGATCCTCAGGCACTGAAATCAGTCACCGTATACCTAGCTGCAAAATAGAACTTTTCTTTCAAGAAGAACAAGTTATATTCTTGAACTAGATATAGGAAGGCCGATTTCAGTGGCTCGAGAACAATTTTATCACAAACTTAATGCTTTGCAGTTATTTTCATAAGAACAGACAATTTTTGTCAAAAAAATATCTGTAGCCACTTTTCAAAAATGCCCATTTTCGATAAATACCTTGTGACTCCGAAGCGAAGACAGATATCGATATGCGGATTTCACCATTGAGTTTTTCATGAGAATCAACCTCCAGGCACCGACATCAGTTTTCTTCCACCTAGTTCGAGAATAGGACTTTCCCTTTAAAAGTGTCCACCTTGTACTAGATAACCTATACCTCTGACGTAAGAAGTTCATCACTGGCTAAATTTAATGATCTTAATTTATGTATGAAATGAAGAGTAAGTACCTAAGAGATTTATCCTCAAGATATGATATAAATAATACAACAATTCAATTTATTCGTCAAAATGGTCTAGTCAATCGTTAAAATGCATGTATCTGAATCTTCTAGTCGATCAAATATATATATTTATGAAAATTATATTGTTCATTATTTATCCCCATACTTCTTAATATGTTTCGAAAACATCAGTCACATTGAATTATCTACTGACGATGCAATTCAATTAGCTTTATTATATTCATTGTGAAATGAACTTATACATACATATAGTTATAAAATAGAGAAATATGATTCCAGTAATTTTATCATTCATTCATATGTAACACCTATTATTCCACATATTCATCTGAAATATTTATTTACCATATCCACATATTTTCCTACACATTGTTTGAATTTAATATACACTCACCGGCAAAAAAACCGGCCACCAAATAATTTAGCCAAATTGTTTGCTCTGTAACTTTTTCAATTCTGGTCCGATTTTGGTGAAATTCCGACCAAATCATAGATCCATGTTTCCGAATGTTAGCCCAAATATTTTTTCCTAAGAAAATCTGATGACTCGATCATCATACAGGGAAAAACGAAAGTTACTTTTTCACCCTCAACTTCTTAACGCCCTGTGGGAAAAGTGAGTGGTTTTAACTTAGCTTCATTATGTTTTAGATTGAAGAGTGATCTCTTCTCTACATTATGGTTTTTTATTCACGTCGATAACCATTTTTTAAAGGAAGATACAAGTGTTTCAAGAGAGTATGGATTCTTAAAATTTGTATTTACAATAATTCATTATCATCATCAGGATTTGATCAATAACTCCAGCAATAGACAAAAAACAGTATGGAATCTAGTAAATAAGGAAACAGGTAGGAAGAAACAAAGTACTAGCATCACTCTCAGTATCAATGATAGGACGATAAGCGATCCCTCAGACTTAGCAAAAGAATTTGGTGAGTATTTTGCCAATATCACCAAAAATAACCTTAAAGAACACTTTGGTTCAGATAATACACCCAACTCCTGTACGACTACGAATATTTTGTACAATACGTTCTTTTTCAAACCTGTCACTCATGAGGAGGTAACGGACATAATTCGGAACCTAAAAAACAAATGTTGTACCGGGTTAGACAACCTATCAACAAAAATATTGAAAAAAATAAATATCACTATATCTGAACATCTAGCATACTTGATAAATATGTCAATCACATCAGGTAAATTTCCTTCTGCACTTAAGATTGCAAAAATAATACCTATACATAAGAAAAATGATGTCCATAACATTTCCAACTATCGACCCATATCCATATTGAGTATTGTTTCAAAAATATTTGAACGCATTGTATACAATAGGATATCTGATTTCTTAAATAGATTCAGCATAATAAATAATTGCCAGCATGGTTTTAGACATGGAAAGTCCACCCAAACTGCTGCTGCCAGTCTTCTAGAACAAATTTATAAAGAACTTGACAAGGGTAAGCATGTGGCAGGGCTGTTTTTCGACTTGACGCGAGCTTTTGATTGTCTTGATTTTGGATTTATAAAAAATAAACTGTTCAACATGGGATTTAGGGGCATATTCTTAGATTGGATGTTCAACTATCTCACAGAACGGAAAATGATAGTAAAAATATCTAATAAATACTCGGAACTACACAGAGTAGAAACTGGAGTTCCTCAGGGATCCGTGCTGGGACCGTTGATTTTCTTGCTCTTTATCAACGACTTACCACAGCACATGAGTTCAAATGTACTTACACTATTTGCTGACGACACATCTATAGCGGTCTCAGCAGGATCCCATGAGGAGCTTCAAGGATTAGTTGAGGACGTCATTCTGAAGTTTTGCGGCTGGTGTAACAGAAATGGATTGATTCTGAACTTGGGCAAAACTGAATGCATTTACTTTCATTCACATAATGCTCCAAGTAATGAATTGCTATTTCTCAATATAAGAGACACACAAATAACATCAACAACTTGTATTAAATTCCTAGGAGTCTATGTTGATCACAATCTGAGGTGGACTGATCAGATAACGCACTTAGTGAAAAAACTCAATTCAACCTACTTTGCGATTTCGCGGATAAAACATTCTTTGCCCACAGATGCCTTATTGAATGTCTATTACAGCCTCGCATACAGCAATCTGACCTATAACATTGTCTTATGGGGTCAGTCTATAGATAGGCAGAAAATATTTGTTGCCCAAAAAAAAATCATAAGGAATATTTTTAACATGCATCCTCAGGATTCTTGCAAGCAGGTCTTTATCAAATATAACCTCATGTCTTTTCCATGCATCTACATATACAGAAGCCTACTGTATGTGAGGGAAAATTTATCCAAATATACCAAAAAGTCATCATTACATAATTACGAAACCAGACATTCTGACTTTTTATCTATCCCTAAACACAAAACCAAAAAATTCGAAAATTGCATTTCATATATGGGAATCAAAATGTATAACCATCTTGCCAGTAGCTACAAACTTCACAATGATAACCTCTTCAAAAAATCTGTAAAAGAACTACTGTTGAGAAAATGTTATTACAGTATTCAGGAGTACTTCTCGGACAGAGAAATATAATGTTAGATTCAAATCCAGTATAGTGACTGATTTCATGTTCAAGTGTCTCATTCTTTCTGACTTATCCTATACATTGTAAAAATGTCCTACAGGATCAATAAATATTATTATTATTATTATTATTATTATTATTCAGAACCATTCTCCAACCTTCTGCTTCAATGCTTCATCATGTTTTAAATTGAAGTGTGATCCTATTTTGTTTCTTCTTGATACAACGGTTCTTGAATAACGCCAATATCTTCTTTTTGAGAGAAGATACAAGGGTTTCAAGAAAGTATAGATTTTTTTTATATTTCAATAACAATAATTCAGAACCTATCTACCTATCTTAGGGGTGACCTCTAGAGACTCATTCGCCTTCGCCCAGCCTTGTCAGATACTCTCCAAGAGCTACGATTCGCCCTTCAAGGAGGATATTAGGCAATTATTCAAGGCAACTTGAGTAATTTGATCAATTCGATGCCACTTCGGTTGAATGCTGTAATTCAATATCGAGGAGAGCATACTGACTGACTACAGGTCTGCTTCTTGTTTGTTTTTTGTAATTGATTTTCCCGTAAGTGCTAAGAAAGTAAGGTAGAAATATGTGATATTAATCCCTGAAGTTGTTAATCAATAATTTCATGTGAATTCTGATTATTGGTAAAAAAGGTTGAAAAACGCCATACTTCCTTAAAACACTCGTATCTTCTTTTGAAAATAAGATATTGACGTGAATCAAAAACTTTTGTGTTAAGAAGGAATCACACTTCAATCCGAAGCATAATGAAGCCATGTTCAATCACGCAATTTTGCCACAGGGCGTTGAGAAGTATAGGGTGAAAGAGTAACTTTGGTTTTTCCCTGTATAATGATCAAGTCATCAGCTTTTCAGGAAAACTGATATTTAGGCTAACATTCCGGAACATGAATCTACAATTTGATCGAAATTTCATAAAAATCGGACAAGGATTAAAAAAGTTACAGGCTGAAGAATTTGTGAAGATTTTTTGGTGGCCGGTTTATTTTGCCGGTGAGTGTATAAAGGATTGTTAAATGTAAATTTTCTTAGCAAAATAATTGTATGTAAGATTGATAAATTATTACGAATTATTTCACCAAAAAAATGAAACTGAAGCTAAATCACTGTACAGGCTATCTTATTTTCAAAGATAGAGATTTGTGGTTTTCGCGAACTTTGGCTACTTTTTTGTGAAACTAACGATACCGCAAACAAAATTTTCATAACTTGCTTCGTTCTTGAGAAACAGGGCGAGATTGAGCTGAAAAACTAGAAACTAATTTCATGGCTTATACTCAGAATATCATATGAGTGTTGTATATTTTAAGAAAGCACAAAGCATCATTGTTTTAATCAATCAATCAATCCTTACTAAACATTAACGTTCAGTTTATCCGTAACCAGAGAAGCGAACTGATTATGCGCGTACCTTTCGCAAAAAAAACTTCAACTCAAAAATCTTTCCTGTATATGGCACCTAAAATTATTAATATTATTCCTCAAGACATTATTGCAAGTCCTCACAATTTTCCACTGTTTGTTAAGAAAATAACAAAATACTTCACCAGCATCGATGTTCAAGTAATATTTGAAATTATTGAGTAAAGGAAATCTTTTCAATCAGGTAATAGTTTAAATATAAATCTCATACCAACCAAAATATTCAAGGTGGCCTTCAAAATTATATTAATACTTTTATAATATATATAATCTTCTTCTTCTTTCCACGTTTTGAATCTTGTTCACCCTCTCTACATAGTTACTTGTATAATTATGATTATATCCTTCACACACAGGTATATTGCTGCCTTGTGAAGATGCCAGTAAATGTATTTATTGTTTAAAAACAATTGATTTATATAGTATAAGTAGATATATGGAATGAAAATAAACATAATATGATTTAAATAAGATAGCACAGTTCTCCGCATTGATATAATATACTTGGTAAGCTTACTCACAGATTACCATATCTTGTAACTATCAAGTAGTAATATCAAGGACAACGGCGTAGGTATTAGTGTATTTATCCCATGTATTGCAGTTACTATGAAAATGTAATATCTACTGTATTGACCCACTCAATATGTAATGTGATGTACAATTTTTCTTTTTTCTGGCAATAAATGGAATAAAAATAATGAAATGAAATATGAAAAAATATACAGGGTGTTCCATTAAAAAACATAACTGGATTCTACGTGAAAAAATGTGGGAAAGGCAGTTTTTACTTTTACGATGAGTTGAAACATAGCTGAGATACAAGGAAGGACCCTAAATGCAACATTTTCTATTCCGCCCTGTATCTCAAAAACGAAACGTTCTATGACAATTTTGTTTGCGGTATCGTGAGTTTCACAAAAAAGTAGCCAACGTTCGCGAAAACCGCAAATTTTTATTTCAGACGGCCTTGATATTCAGAGGCTATGAGAGTTTCAGCACGAGGTAAATAGTATACATTCATTTGTGGGAGAGTTTCTATAATTATTGTAGATTGTTCCTTATTTACACACTGATACAGTTCGTGTGCAAAGGAACACTTTAATGCATAGCGTCAAAGTAATCCAATGAAAACTCGAAAGTGTGTTAATGAGAGAACACAACATTAATTTGAATTAAATATGGGTCACGGTCGATGGCACCTTAGACGTTTACGGAGAACGGGACATAAGATCATTCTGAAAATTTGGTTACTCAAGTAATTGCTCTTGATCTATCAATCTAAAATATTTTCAGCTCTGCGGCGTTGCCGCTTCTATCGAAAAGTAGCAACAACTTTGTTATTTTAAACGGAACACCCTGTATTTTATCGCATTTTCAGATTCTCTCTGAAGAGCTGATTTCATCGATGTATCACACTTGGGGTCTAGCGGAAATGATTACAGAGATATAGGGTGTGAAAAATCGACATTTTTCAACTTTAGTAATTTTTTTTGTCGAAACTATTCATTATTGGTCAAAACGGCTCACATGTCCCTATCCCAACTTTTGATCAACTATCTACTGACATTTAATTGAAACAAATACAGGGTGGTGCAGAATTCAGATTCTTGATCACCCGGTATATGTCCCAATTAAATATCAGTAGATAGTAAATCAAAAGTTGAGATAGGGACATGTAAGCCGTTTTGACCAATAATGAATAGTTTCGACAAAAAAAATTCCTTAAGTTGAAAAATGTCGATTTTTCACACCCTATATCTCTGTAATCATTTTCGCTAGACCCCAAGTGTGATATATCGATGAAATCAGCTCTTCAGAGAGAATCTGAAGATGCAATGAAATACAGGGTGTTCCATTTAAAATAACAAAGTTGTTGCTACTTTTCGATAGAAGCGGCAACGTCGCAGAGCTGAAAATATTTTAGATCGATAGATCAAGAGCAATTACTTGAGTAACCAAATTTTCAGAATGATCTTATGTCCCGTTCTCCGTAAACGTCTAAGGTGCCATCTACCGTGACCCACCCTGTATACATACCATTTTATTGTATCTTCTCCGGCAGGCGGTGAAGTAGGTGATCGAGCGGTAAGGTGAGTTCACTATTTTTCCAGTAATTTTAATCTGTTTTTTCATCCATAAATAACTATTATGTGTAATTTGTTTTCTTGTACACTACATACACACGTATGCTTTTCTCCTATTATTGATCTATTTACTATTATTATGACGTGTTTAAGGTTTGTTGCCTATAGACATATATTATGCACCGTTTGGAATTTTGTAATATGTAATAAATCAAATATGTATTGAAACAACCTTATTCAGAATGAATACATGTGAACCAGAAATGGTTGTTGGCTGATTTTACTGAAAAATCTGACGTTTTTCAGCGCCGTGTTGTGAATTGTAACCTAATTTGATTGAGCTAAAGCAGGCATTGTAAATATTGCATTTCCAAGCTTTATCTATGGACACAGAGGTACAATACAACATTGAGGCACCTCCAAAACAATCATTATTTAAAACAATGTGTAAACGAATTTCTCCAACCTCATCAGTGCCATCTGCTTCGAGCTATCTAGATTACCTACCATTGATACTGTTTGTGTGTAAAACACACAAATAAAACACAGTATCACATCATACTCGATATTATTATCGGAAATTCGAAATAAATAACAAATTCTCATGTAACCAAATATGTAACTTCTCTTCCAATATCTACCAATTGATTACCAGTTGACAACTTCACCTTTGCTTGTTCTACGTCAACTCGGAATATACTGTCTGGTGGAATAACTACTTTATTCTTGGTTGGCTCATTGAAAACAGGTATTTTTCTTGGCCCTAACAACGGATCCTCAAACCGCCAAAGTTGGATTGATTCAGGTTCTGAAAATTAAATCAGAAGCATAAATTGAAACTCAATTTATATTAAAGAAATACGGAATCGGAATATGGACATTGGCGTATCATCGTTACCACCGATACAACAAGGCCAGCAGACTCTGACGTAAACAGCTCGTGACGTCGTCAAGTGAGGCCAGTGTTTTATTTTATCGCTTGTCGACTAACGCGTCAGTTCGTGTTAATTCATCGGTGATTCACGTATGTTTTTGAAACGGTCCCGAATTCTTTTGTTGTTTATTCATCAAAATAATTGGCGGAAAAATTACTGTTTTGTGAAATATTTTGTGTTGTGATCGGCGAAATAACAATGCCTTTCAAGTGTTGTGTTCTCTTTTGTCGGGGGAATTATGTGGGTGGTTCAAAAGTTCATGCTTTTAGTTTCCCGTTGGACGAGGAGCTATCGAAAATGTGGGTAAGTATATGCAATTCACCGCGAGGATTTTACTCCATCTAAGTATCTAAGTTCAGTAGTAAACAGAGCTTAATTTATAATGATGAATTAATAATAGAAGACAATTACTCTCTCATAAAAAGTATAAGTAGAGGAAACATAGAAAAGCTTTGATTGTGCAGTTAGTTTTGTATTCGTATATTATAGTCAACAAAATCATCTCTGAATTCGAGGAAATTTTCTGGAATGTTCATAATAAACGGGCATTTTTAATTCTCATTCTCAAATTTCTTTCTGAAAACGGTCATTTGCCTCGTGGCAATGAATGCAGAATTCATTCCAATGATCAAATTGCAACTATCATATTAACATGAACTACAAACACTCTACTCAAAAAAGGTAAAACTGCATTTATCATGATATTTATCATGAAGATATTTGACTGAAAAGTTCCAAATTTCACCTTCTTTTTCACCTGTCTTCTGGATGGCATTTAGAACAAATTTTCCTTCCTTTTTCATCATATTGGACAATTTATATATAATTCAACTATAAATATGATTTTCTTGAGATTAATCCATATTTAGTGTAAAGAAGGAAGAATATCATTAAAAATAATGGCGTGTGTAATGTCATTCGAAAGCAATCTATTGACATTTGACATCTCGTATTTTGATTGACTATTGATTAAATGGTCGTCATCTGGAATGCTTGTTCACTAAATATGAAAAACTCGCCATAAAAATCATATTTCCTGTTGAATTTTCTATATAAAAATGTGCCATCGAAGTACATCATGAGTATATAAAGTGTCCAATGACAAAATAAGAGCAAGTAGCTTCAAATGCTCCCAACACAAGGGGAGAAAGAAGGCGAAATTTCGAACTTTTTCTTGAAATATCTCAATAAATAGTGATTTGTTCACATTTTCATTATAAAATTCGGTTCATCAGACAAAATACGTGAGTACGGAAAAAAAATTTCAATAAAAAACCATCGCATGATAAATGCAGTTTTACCCTTAAAAATTACGGTTTCAAGTGTAACGATCCACTTGGGTGAAAAATCCAACCACAGAAAATTGAAAACACTCACTGGTTATTTTTTCAGGTAATAGGAATTCTCCAAGATAAATATAGGTAATTGTAACAAACGGCATGTCAACCAAAATAAAATACATTTTCCATAATTTTCTTTCGATCAATCTCACGATAAGTTTATGTTCTGCGGGCCCTGTATAAGTAGGTGTGAAGTTTACCTTCACCACAATTTTTACCAATATATTTAATTCTAATGGGTTGCTGTAGGTGGATATTTGTGTTTTATCCTGGTTTTTGCCTTAAAACTTCGTTTTTCCATAATAAAATCGAATGGGGTGCGAAGAAGGGCTCAGTTGACGACGGGCTTGCTTTTTTAACCGGAAGCCCTTCAAAAAACAGCAAAATCGGCTCAATGATGATCTAAAACTGAAATCGAAATACGCGGTCGCCTTATAGCGCTATAAGCGCTTGTCGTTTCGAGCCGCTGGTTAGGCCTGACTAAGTGACGTCACCCACGGATGCAGGCCTTGTTGTATCGGTGGTAACGGTATCATACGAAATTTCCACATGTAATTTCTCATTCAACTCTACATATTATATCCAAATGATGATGATAATTTTCGAGTTTCTGATTTTTCAACTCCCGCATAATCTTTGTGAGGCAGTGAGCAAATTTTTCTGAAAGTTCAATACGTTTTACCAAATGGGACTGTCCTTAGGCAGTACCTATCAATAAATGAATTTTGATTGCTGACTTCCCTTATGGTTGAGAAATGGTGAACACTTTAATGGTATATGGTATTCAAACTAATGTGCTCATATGTCATGTGTGCTGTATATATTCATGTTGGGAATCATTTTTGCAGTTTTTCACGAACACTTAATATTCCTGAATGTAGGTATAATTTTTTTAAATGGTAGGGCATATGCCTCTTCTTTCAATCCTCCGTTTTAATCAGACTGTTTCTACTAAAATGCATTCGAAAACTTGTGGAGTGGATAATTATAGGCACAATGAGAAAGTATAATAAGTGATTTCGTATTAGCTGATGTATTTACCAATTTTCCCCATTCGGTCACTTCACTTTCCATGTTTTAAGTTCATTTGCATTTGATGGAGAGTTGACAAATTCAAATTTGCTATCCTACTGATTGATACAGCCTAACGCAGCAAATTTTACCATCCTTCCAAAACAGAATTGAATAATGACGTATTAGGATAAAGTATGAAATTAAAATTTTGTAAGATCTCTTTTAATGCCTTAATGTGACGTGACAGCAATGTCAAGTCAGGGACGCCAATACACGAAATCAAAGTCACTAGATGATTAAAAGAGAAAGGAGCTATGATCTGTCCGTACCCTGTTAGATGACAAATACGTCAGTTTGCATCAAGGGACCCTAGCTATGATAACAAATAAAAAATCATGTATACCGGGTGCATTTTCGACAGTAGACAAAATTACATTCTGCCGCTGATGAGTACTGCAGCGGTCTGCCATAAGAATAGGCAGTTAAGGTACTTCCATTCCAAGTGGAGAGTAAATGATACAGACCATAATATCTTCCGAAATCATATGGAAAAGTTACATTCATACTGAGAATCAGTTACGTATTTATTTCTCATTACGATACAACGTGCGTAAAAATTTATGTTACTCTGGTCCACAGCCTCCGATATAGAAAGCCGTGGTGAGGAGTCATGCAACACTGTCCGACAGTCCCTTGGCTGGGGTTTAATACACACACGGTATTTATTTATTTTATTTATTTATTTATTTATTTATTATAGGTAATTCAACAGAACATAAGTTCCAATTACAGAATTACGCATTGTGACAATATTAATGCGTGTGGTATAATTAATAGGTACATTAAAACTGACTAATAACTAATAACTAATAACTAATAATTACATTTTGTATCTGAGTAGTAGGTAACTAGTATGAAACTGAAGTAGAACGAAAACTAATAGTGAATTAATCTATAATTTGAAAACATCAAGAGCCATTTTTTTTACCCGAGCGGCTGTGTTACAAAACAGATCTATGTGAGAGAAATAAAGATTATATAATTCTTGAATTGACATCACAGGTGAATTTTTTGAATAGTTGGTATTTCGGAAGCTGGTATAAAATAAATGAGGAGAACGAGTGGCATGGGGCTTTATACTGAAGTTGAGACTGCTCAATAAGTATGGACTGTCTACTTGATTATTGACTATTTTAAAGAGGAATCGTACGAACGAGACCAATCTCCTAACGGACAGTTTGGGTATATTATAATACTTGAGACTCGTTTCATAGTTTTGAAAGTGCAGTTGTCTATTGAATTTAAAGTTCAAGAAGTTTACAAATTTCTTTTGTACCCTCTCAATCCGATCGATATATTTATAATAATGTGGGTTCCAGATAATGCTGGCGAATTCAAGATGGCTACGAATTAGTGAGTTGTATAAAATAATTAGAGACCTATGATTCGTGAAAGATTTTGTGATTCGCATAATGAATCCCAAATTGCGCAAGGATTTTTTTAGAATGGATTCAATGTGATTTTCAAAAGTCAGTTTAGAGTCCAACAAGATACCTAAGTCTTTTATCAAGTCAACTTTTGCCAAGTTGTTATTGTTAATAGCATATGGAAAGTCTATGGCTTTATGTATTCTGGAGAACGTAATTTGATTACATTTTTGAGCATTCAGTACGAGTTTATTAGTTTCACAGTAACTTTGCAATCTAATAAGATCTGTCTGCAAATTCAAGCAGTCTGTATTATTTTTGATAGTTTTGAAAACTTTTAGGTCATCTGCATACAAGCAGAACTCAGAATGTAGAAAACATTCACTGATGTCATTAATGAAAAGAGAAAACAACAGGGGTCCAAGGTGTGAACCCTGAGGTACTCCAGACGTAACATTGGTGTACTCCGAAAACCAACTATTCAAAGTTACAGTTTGCGTTCTATCCCTTATATAACTTTCTATCAATCTGAGTAAGTTGCCAAGTATACCAATATTTCCCAGCTTAATAATTAGTGACTTATGATGAACTTTATCGAAGGCTTTGGAAAAATCGGTATACACAGCGTCAACTTGTAGCCTAGAACTCATGTGATCAAGAATTTTTTGAGTAAAAAATGCTAGATTTGTGATAACCGAACGGCCTTGGAAAAAACCATGCTGATTGTCGTTTATGAGATGTTTGGTTGCATAAAACAATTCGAGGGTTATAATGGCCTCGAATATCTTTCCCGGAGTTGAAAGCAACGATATTGGCCGATAATTTAAAACATCATTTCGGTTTCCACTTTTGAAGATGGGAATAACATTGGCATGTTTCCACTTATCCGGATAAACTCCTTCAGAGAGAGATTTGTTGAAAATTATCAGTAGTGGAACCGCTATTAAATTACATGTATTTTTTAGAAAGACTGGTGGTATTCCATCAGGTCCAGCACCCTTGTGTATATCAAGTTTCTTGATTTGTTCAGTGATCTGATCTAGTGTTATATTATTCATAGTAATGGAAGTAGGTGGGTCCGATCTAGTAACAAAAGGAGGGATGTCTGCTGGTTCGAAAACAGATGAGAAATATTGAGAGAAAGCTTCACAAACCTCGCTGTCTGTAGAGAAAGTGCTACCTTGATATTCTACATATCTTGGAACGGTTTTGGATTTATTTCGGTTTGATACGAAAGACCAAAAGGTTTTCATGTTATGTGTCATATCGTTTTCGATTTTGCGAGAGTAATCAGCAAAGTTTTGTTTTATTGACCTTTTTATCTCCCTCCTAATAGTGCAAAACTCCACATAGTCTGCCTGATTATGATATTTTTTCCATTTTTTGTGTAATTTGTATTTTTGTTTTATCAGTGATTTTGTGAAGTTGGTATACCATATCGGAAAATCTTGTTTGAATAGTTTGTTCGGTACATGCGCAGAAATGAGATAATTGATTTTATTGTAAAATACATCAACAGCTTCATTGCAGTGGAGTTTTCCCAATAAAAGTTTCCAATCTGTAACATTCAGTTCGGCATTTATTTCATTGTAGTTAGCTTTGAAAAAGTTTCTATTATTAAAAGAGTCCTTATGCTTGGAAGCACTGATATTTTCTTCCACATTGATCATAATTTCTAGAGATTTGTGATAGGAATCCTCGTTAACAAAGGGAGCTGGACTTGAAAGAACAGAAGTGTTATTCAGCGAGCTAAAAACTAAATCCAGTAGCTTACCTTGGATATTGCGATTGCCATTATATTGATCTAAGTTCAATAAGTTGAAAGTATCAACAATGTTTTCTCCAATGCCGTCGGACGTTCTAGCAGCAAAGTGAATATTTTGCCCTGTTTTAGTTTCCCATAAAATATTAGGACAGTTATAATCTCCAAGAATCAGAAAATCATCGTTGGGGTGGTTCAGAACAACATCGCGCACATGATTCAAGTGAATTTTCAAATCATCCATCCCAGAGTCGGGAGGAATGTATACACAGCACAGATGTAGCCATTTATGATTACTCAACGCAACACTTATCCAGATATCTTCACACCGGTTAGCCGATGACCACGACGTTTTTTCACAACAGCGAAATTTCTTCTTAACCGCAATCATAACACCTCCCCCATCCACTTTTCCACTTGTAATTTCATCACGATCTTTGCGGTACACCTGGTATTCTTCACAATCGAAAAGTTCGGAGGAATTAATCATGTTATTCAGCCATGTTTCGGTGATGCAAACTATGTCAGAACTGCTTTCAAGGCTCGAGATTAAAAAATTATTTGTTTTGGTACGAAGACCTCGAGTATTTTGGTAATATATTGTTAGGCCCATTGTGAATATTTATATGCATAGAATTTAACTTTAGCATGAAAAATAATTCAAGCCTAGTTTTTTCCAAAGGCCTTGATTATTTTATGAAGAGCATCTTCGCTATCAATATGAATTTGCTTCGCATTTTTCGGATCCCGTAAGTATATCTTACAATCGCGAGTCCAACACGAAACATTTTTTTGTTTGCAAATCTCCCTGGTATTTTTATACAGCAATTGGTTACGTGGTGTCAAGTGATCGTTGATGAAGATCTTGTTATTATTACCTTCAAATCCGATGTCTCCTGTAGTAATTCCTTTCATTCTCCTGATTGCAGTGATAACATTCGTTTTCTGTGATTTGAGAGCAAATTTTACCAGTATCCCCTTTGGAGTTTGGCGAGATTGGTCTTTCTGAGGTACCCTGTAACAACTCTCGATTGTGCGAGCCTCATTAACTCCTAGGGTAACAATCACTTTCTCAACTATCTCAATAACATTCTCATTTTTGGATTCAGGAATTCCGTTTATAATTATATTATTACTTCTCATCTGTTGTTCTAAGCTGTTGATATTTGATTTCAGTATATCAATTTCAGAAGTGTTCAGCACGACTTTATTCTCTATCTTTGGAATAGATTTGACTATCGAATCGAACTCTTCCATTTTATGAGAAAAATCATCAATTTTTGCTCCATAATACTCCATAGAGGCAACTATATCGTTTTGTTTGGTTTTAATATCTTTGATATCAGACATTATGAAGTTCAATTTCTCAATCAAATTAGCAGCAAAAGTTTCTTCTCCGCCTAATTCACCTGTTTTCTTTGAACAACTCTCACATTTCCAGGATAGACCAGGAAATTTGGCAACGTCTGGCATGTTCGGGGTTTTCAAACACAATTGATGGAATAGTTTTTTGCATCCAGTACATTGAACCATCGGGGTATCCCTGTTGACAGTTTTTGTGCATATCCTGCACACACTTTTCGAGGCACTCATCATAAAAAACGCTGCTGATAAGAGCGAGAACAAAAAGTCGAACGTTTTTGTACTTCAACAGCACTCGAATTTACAGTTATTGGTTTAGAATTATGATGGATTGAAAGATTGATGTTAGGAATTTTGCACCAATGAACAGCAATTTTGTTTGCAATCCGATATCACTCGAAGCAGAAGAACCTATACTTCCGCTGGAGCAAAGTTCCGACTCAAATCAACTTTTCGAACCACCGGTAAACTGCCGAAACTCAAGAGCGACACTACTAAGCAACCACACGCTAGGACATTCACGAATCTAGAACGGTATGTGTTATCAATGTGAAATATTCTTGAAATCTAGTGAAAAGTGTGCGAAATATAGTCCATTCAAATATAGATTTGAATTGAGGTTATGTTAAAATTGGACTCCACCTCAACATTCTGTAGTGTGTGCAATTCATTTAGTTGAAACATATATTATTAGATATGATACATTTCCCCCTTAAGATGGATCAATTCGAAAAAAATCGGTAAGAGACCCTCAGTAGGTTAAAACAGCAGGTCCCTCAATTTTTCCACAAAACAAACAAGTGCACATTGATAAAAAGTGATATTCTTCTTCTACAATAAGTAATTATTATATATGTCTTTAATCGTATACACCACTTCTCATTCTGTGTATGAACTCTTTAGGAATTTTTTGATTTCACCTAACAAACGATACTTGCAACAACTATCTTCCGACTTGAATATTTCTCCAAGCAATAACCTTCATAATAATAATTACTTGTTCAATATTTCTTCATCACTGATGCAGAGGGAAAGAGTTGTTGTTCTTTTGATAGATGAAATATACCTACATCTCTCCAAAATTAGACTATACAGATCTAAAAATATGATAGGGGTATGCTTCAAATATGGATAATGTTGCCAAAAAAGACTTGCCAGTTGTTTATTTAATCTAGGAAACTGAATAGATCCCGACCTGTGACCTGACCCATTATTCCTTGCAATTTTCTTCATTAAAAGTTTTTTTTTATTCGTTTCTTCAACGTCGGCCTTTTTTCTGCTACTACTCACCGAGGCCGATGAGCACACTATACCCCCAACCTGAAATTTTGCCGAATCCTCTGGTGTTCCAACCAGAGGTAGGGATCTTTAACGAGTCCAACATCCATGGCCTCGGGACCGCCGGCTTAACGTCCCCTCCGAAGGACGGCATATCCGTACCATATCTTGTGCTCATTGATATGGTAGCTGTAGCTATGATATGCTATTCCGCTACAGATGTACGGGCTTACGCGGCGTTTCCTCGAATGGTCACCCATCCAAGTACTAAACGCGCTCGACACTGCTTAACTTCAGATATCGAACGGCTAGAGCCCTACCTGAGAAGCTAGGGCGACGCCCTTCATTAAAGTTCAATTATATCAAATACAAGAATTGACATAAGCAATGATTGCCTATGTCATCGTGTTGCCAGTCGAGATTGGTCGAGAGCATATACGTATTAATAAACAATACGGATCATAACGGGTGCCAGGATGAAGCCAAAAATATGAAACAAATGAATATCCATAAGGATTTGGTGGCATGATACGCATGCGCCATGCGCTGTTATAGTAGTCATCAAAGACATGCGTTTCAGTGGACAATGACGTTTACTAGCCTTTCAATCAAAGCAGTATGTGTCTGATCGTTTCAAAACTTTTCCTTATGGATAGTCATTTGTCTTCAAAAATCGGCTTCATGTTTCGCTATGGAAACAGATAGAGATTATCCGTATTGATTATTAATACGTATATGGTCGAGAGTAGAACTTTTGGATTACGGCGATGCGGTGTTGCATTTCTCTTACCGCGGATTGTTAACGAGCAGGCTGTGATATTTGCTCGTTTTAGTCCTGCACGCATGTAAAAAAACAATAAATCATACTTGAAGAAAATACATAACAAAAAGCTTTACTAGACAAAATACGATTCTAAACCCTTAAAATGCTCTCCTGCAAACTTCGAAAGCTTTGACAATAATTATCTTCTTGCCCTGTACCCTAACTCACTTACTTTTTATTAATTTAGAATCCTTCGCTATCTTTTGCACAATCTTAGTATAAGAGTCTCCGTCACTTATTGTCACAATCTTCGAGAGCAACCCATTTTGTGTTTCTGGGTTAACAAAATCGACTTTGATACCAGGCTTGGTCGCGAATAGCACGAATGGAGCTCCCGGACTACATTCTTTCATTTTCTCACTCGCCTCAGGATCATCGGTGAATTTGATGACGATATCCTCGATCTACAACAAAAATTTAATGTTGGAATCTAGTTGACTGACGTTCCACATATCTTACATCGAGGGAATTCGATAAGTAGGGGCTATTTTTTCTCAATACTTCTGCTTCTTCGAACTCGAGAGTCAAAGCTAGTGCTTTGACACCTAGTTGCTGCAACTTCTCTCTGGTTGTTTGAACAAATGGCATGACTCGCTTCATGTATTTCTTCAATTCGCTCATTTTAGAAAAATCAGCAGATAAGGTTTTGTTGTCAGGTAAACTTCCATTTTTCTGAAAAAAGTGGAAAAATGGTATCTTCAATATTCAAATATTTCTAAATTCAGAAGACGTCTAATGATACTTCAATAATGCCTATCAAGGGAATTCTTGCTTTTGAATTGAGCGCAGTTAGATGATTTATGCAGTATTTTTGTTCTTGAATTTGTTCTTATCCATCATTCGGTTGCCCCCTTACGAGCAACCCTCAGAAGTCTTCAAGAGACTTGTGCGAGCAAGGAATGACGGGGGTCTCACCTTCTAACGTGTGATCCCAAACACTTTCTTAGGCCATCAGAAAAATTTCTGCGGTCGTGGTGGGACTCGAACCCACTACCGGTAAACCAACGTGGATAGAACATTGACGCTTTAACCACGAGGCTACGCTGGCCATTTGTGTTTCAACACAAAATTTGATTTCCACTGCTTAAACTATAGACTACAACTGTGAAACGGTATCCTCAATACAACTGACAGAAGAATCACAAACTGTAATATATAAGGGGTTCGATGCGATGTTAGAAGCGGCATATTTCCTGGTGCTGTAATGAACCGAGTCCTTACTAAGTGTTTTGAGCTATATATGGAGCAGATGTATTTGTGCTGAAAATTATCTCGTTAAACTTTCAGAGCATCAGTGGACCAAGTCCAAGATAAATTGTAGTAAATCTGAAATTGCTGATGACGAATTGATTCATGATGTAAGAGATGAAGCATCGAACCATTCTAGTACATTATATAGCACGGGACTGAAGTGATTCAATTAATCAATTCTGGAAGACTATCAACCAATTACTCAACTTATCGATGTTACAATTTAATTTGACAAGTACCTATTAGTTGATTTATAATCTCATAGAAATCAAATGGGTCACCACAGACCTGATAGGGTTCAAATGGATCACTTCAGTGGCTGTTTAGAAGATGATTCGTTACTTTAGTCCCACGGTATATGCGATAATATCACACTTTCGGGAAAATTGTAACTAAAATCAGGTAACACATCAATGATAGAATTCAATTTGATGAGTACCAATTGGTTATTTTGTCAGTTTGATTTGAAATGAACGGTTCACTATAGTCGCTAGGAATCATTTTAGTATCTGTTTCAGGTAGTGGGGGACATATTTCAGTTTCCGAAGTGCAAAAGGGGATTTACTAAATCAGTCCCATTTCAAAAATTCATTTCAAGTTCATTTTCTTCAGGTTGAGCTCCTACATTTTAATGTAAGCTGCATTGTAAAAGTGAACCAAGCCCAACATAATATTAGAAAAATATTCATTAAGCTGATACTATTTCATTTTTCGATTCGTTGATTGCACTAACATTCAAGTTACGGTCGGTCTAAAAACCCCTCGAATAAAAAACGAAGTAAATAACATAGGAATTAATCACTGACAAGCAACTTTAAATTTCTATATCTCAAATTCACACATTGACTTGATTCACTTCAGCGTTGAACCCCTCATATCATATGGTGTACTGCACCATTGCATACTTCGCAAAACTTATTCATCAGGATCTGAAAAGGACATACTATAACGGTTTTATAACTTTTATAGGATTGATTAGTGTTTTGAATTGTTGCTGTTGTCTACTTGACTTTTATAGACTTGAGGAATCTCATTCTGGATGATTTTAATGATAACGGAGCTGCAAATTTTTCGTGTTTCATTTCTTGGTGAAAACATTTCAAACTCATTACTGATCAGAAATTTGTTTCCTATATGTTCAACACTAAACAAACAATTATAATCAAGAATGCGAAAATACTCAGATGGCGACTGAAACTTGCTTGCTACAGCTATGACAGTGTATAGACCAGGAAGAGAAAATACCGTGGCTGATACTTTCTCAAGGATTTGTGGAACTACTGAACGAAAACTTGAGCAGTTATTTGAATTACATCAAGCACTATGACATCCAGATATCACACGAATGTTTTACTGATACGTTCTCGGAATATGACCTTTTCAATAGAAGACGTACGTAAAATTAATGCATCATGCAACGTTTGCGCTGAGTTGAAGCCATGATTCTTCAAAAACAATGGGACACTCATAAGAGCTACTGCTTCTTTCGAAATGCTCAATATAGACTTCAAAGGACCTCTTCCATCTGTTTCCAGGAACAGATATTTATTTGTAATCGTCGATGAATATTAGAGATTTCCCTTTGCCTATCCATGTGCTAATATGATTTCTGGAACAGTCATCCACTGTTTTAGTAACCCTTTCTCTACATTTGGCATACCGTCTTACATTCACTCAGGTCGAGGAACTTCTTTTATGTCTATTCTGAATAGCTACTAGTAGAACAACCCCATACAATCCAGAAGGCAATTGGCAAACAGAACGATTCAATGGGATCATTTGGAAGACTCTCATGCTAGCTACAAAGACACGAAGTCTGAAGACACAAAACTGGGAGTTAGTGTTGAAAGACGCTTTGCACTCCATTTGATCTCTTTTGTTTGAACAGTTTTGATAAAAAAACATGTGAGGCAAAGTAAATATGTTCCTCTTGTGGAAGAAGTGCAATTATTTGAAGCTAATCCAGAATACGCACTAGTGCGTCATGCTGACGGACGAGAAACAAATGTTTCTTTAAAACATTTAGCGCCGCCACCAGGGAATATGGATACAAAAGGGAACTGCGAAGACTCTGCTGGAGGAGAAGATCATAATAATGATACAAATACAAACGTTTCAGAAGACAACCACATTTCCAATGATGAAGCAGAGGCCTCTAATGATGACCACGTGAATACTTCAAATGATTACCATGAACCCTCAGTGCAGAAATCCCAAGCTGTTCACAAGAAACATAAAAAAATTAAAAACGTTCTTCTCATATTAGGAATCTTCCAAAATATCTGACGGATAATTTTTTGTAAATTAAACCTGGGGAGAATGAAATGTTCATCTCCTTGTATTGTGATTTATTGTGATAAATAGATAATGTTAGTGTCATGAATGTCATGAATTCTTATTAATTTCATGTTGGAATCTTGTTGATTAAAGCCTTATTTCTAGAGGTAATTCATTACATGATATACTGGGTGGCCCACGAGGTTTTGGCCAGTCGATTTCTCGGAAACTATTTGAACTATAATTTTGAAATTTGGTGGTTTTAAACAGTGGAATGTGGTGTTCATTTTTGATATTTTTGTAATGCTTTTTCTACTTATTTTGTTTCGTTTCCTAATTATACTGTTGTTCTTCAATACATTTTCCATTTTCCATTTATTTGACAGCTTATATTGTCACCGTTTCACATGAAAACCCTGACAATGATGGTATCGTAGTATTTGCATTGAAAAGGTCTTAACAAAAATGCAATAATATACAGGGTGTTCCATTTAAAATTTTGAAGTTGATATCACGTGATTGGAAATGCGATGTTGCAATTAAACCCTCTTATACCAAAAATGGTCACCGCATTCCATTGCTCAAAACCACAAAAATTCAAAATTGTAATTCAAATAGTTTTCGAGATATCGACTGGCCAAAACCTCGTGGGCCACCCTGTATATTAATCAAAAAAGAACAATTCTTTTTCTAATTCAGATCAAATTCAATTTTTTATATACCTCTGTTATAAAAGTTTGTTTCTCACATTGAATTGTTTTGTTTGTTTTGTAGTATTGTTGTTCATTTTTACTATTTGTTCCTGTTTATTATATACTCGAATCATTTAAGTACCTATTTGTGAGTATTTTGAAATTGAGAATTAGGAGTATGAATATTTTTTTTATGAGAATGTGTTTTGTTTGTTTCTATTTTGTTGGAAATAGGTTACTTTTCGTTTAGTAAAACTAAACGTACATAATGTCTGACGTCATAGGTTTATTTCATTATCCTTTCTTGAAATTTGTATAGCATAAAATAGATCTGAATTTTAGACAAGGTATTTCTGATGAAATAAAAATCGAACTGGCAACCCTGGTCCGAGCGAGGAGTGAGTTGACAACAACTGTCATTTGCTGTTGTCAATATATTATTAATGAAATCCGATAGATTTCACGTGTGAATAGAACCGTGATGTGGGGTGTTTGAGGTCGACGAAAAAATTTAATATACACCTCGGAGAAAAATTGTCAATTGTCTAGCCTGATTGCTAGCCTCGGCTACGTCCTCGACTATCAATTTGCAGACTCGACTATAATAGACAGTTTTTCGTCTTTGGTACATAAATAACTATATGAGGGTCCCGCATTCAGATGGGTACCTGTGTATACTTTATATTGTATTGTGACAATGTATTTCCAATATTTATAAACAATTTTGTACTCTGCTTTGTTAACAATAAAGCTTATTTGATTTGTGATGAAATTCGAATTTTTCCATTGAACCCTCAGTACTTTTACTATGTATTGATGCACATATTCGTTTTTTTAATTAGATACGCTGATTTCAAAATTCCCGCTTCATTCAACTGTTTAATGCGTTTAACGTTAAATTTGAGCAAAGCATTAACCTTCAATCTGCTTTTTTTTTAATTAATATTCAAATCATTACTTATAAGCTACAAACACCGGTGCTTTCATCGTTCTCGATATCAAGATAACATCTTGTCAACTCAACTCAAACTAACTATGATCACGAAACCACAAAACACCAAAGTTTATATTGGCTTCACATTGAAACGCCACTGGATACCGTCAAGAAACACAGAAGACTGAAGCTTACCTCAAAGTGTGTTTTCAAAGTAGTCAAAATGCAACTTTGCCAAGAGGGGAACGTCTTGGCGACCCAAATACTCATGACATTAGGTTTTTCCACCGGCGGTGGATTCGGATTGGCTTTCGTTTTCACGCCTTGCATGTACGCTTTCAAATGCACCCGGAAAGTGTGTGCTGATTCCATAAGATATTCTGATGCCTTGATTAGAGTTTCATCGATTGGCCCCACTACAGGCCAAGCAGCATTCAGCACAGTGAATTTCTGAAAACAAAGTGTGCTCGATATTTTGTCAGGACCAGCGATGGAACATGTTTTACAGTGACTATTTCATTCCTCTTGAGATTCTTACATAATCTAACCAATCGTAAGCCAAAGACAACTTGTGTTATCGCGAAAACACTAGCTGTCTTTCAATTCTGATTGGACTGACATCTTTGGTTTTTTTTAACAATGTAACCATGAATAGCAAAGGAAAGTCTGTCGGTTTGATATAAAATAATTATAGCTGTAGATGTCAGAATAAATCGCTTTGGTTATATATTTTTTTGAAGATTTCAAGGTTTATTGAAGGAAAACAAATACACAAAAATACATAAATACAGATACGAAATACGAATATAAATACAAAACCAGGATATCGAAAGAAGAAGTAGAATTTCTCATGATACACAAAGTAATCCTTGGTGGATACAATATATGTTTTTATAAAAATACAGTGAGTTTCTGTTTTGAACTTCTTACAGAGTAGAATAAAATACTCCTAGGCGTATGGCTTTTTTACCCACTCGTTGAATAGTTTTCAAATAATGTAATAACATAATAAATGCAATATGGTTTGTTCATTTATAACAAATGCTTCTAATGCTTCGTGAAATTGTCTAGCAAGACTCTGTTCTGAATATCTTTTTTCATAGTAACCAATTTCATAGTAGCCAATTCATATCGTTACATACAAACAAAGCGCGTCGTAAAATGTCGCTTCGCGGTCGGATTATTCATGTGTCAAACTGACACGCTAATGTAATTATGCAACAAGTTATCAATGTATATCCTGAATATTTTGAAGTGCTTATAGTATTACTACTAAATATTGAGAAGATCGTGATATTACTTATGACAATTCCATGTTTACAATTTTATGTTTTCACGATTGTCACTATGACTGTTGAGAGGTTATTGAGAAGGGACAACAAAATATTACTGGCAGAAAAACTATTTTTTTCTCACTAATAGGCTTCATGAAGTTCAATAAACGTATGAGTCTGAAGAATCTTGATTTCTGCTATACCAGATGCTTGGCTCGCCAGATCTAAAGTGAGTGACATAATAAAGAAGTGGATGTTGAACGCATTAATTCTTATTTTCAATTGTTACATAGGTCGTTATTTATCAATGAAAAAATTTAAATCACTATGAGCCCATCGATGCAAACAGCATCTTCTCAATACTCGACGAATCAACCTTGTTGTGTTAGTCAATTTCAATGATATTTAAGTAATTTTGAAAGCTTTCATTCTGAGTTATTATCATTACATTTGACCATTTTACCATGAGATAGTCATGGAGACTGGAATGTGTGATATTATTTGTTCTGTGAATAGTCTCCATGACAATCTATGGAAACCATATTCAGAGTTAGTTTGTCATTTCTCTACTTTAAGCCACACAAAATATGTTGTCAATTACAAAAAATAATATAAGTAGGAAATTAATTGTTGGTAAATTAACTTGAACACCACTCTTTAGGAAATGTGAGGAAAACATGGTATATAGAATGAAAATGTCACCATTCAGGAAGATGATCAACAAGGATAATCAAATTATAGAAAAATTGGGAACCTCAAGATTGAGAGAATCTAGAGAATTTCACATTATATAATGATTTGCAATACTTACATTTCCAATCAATTCCCATACGTGTTCGGCAACATGTGGACATATAGGTGAAATTAATATCGTTTGCACTTCAATATACCTCATAACTAAATCTAAATGCATTCCATCCAAGCTCAATTCTCTATATGTATCTCTGATTGCTTGCATTTCGAAGAATCCTGCTCTCAGAGCTTCTTTGAATAACATATTTTTATAGAATTCATCTGTTTCCTTGATCTTCAAATTTATTTCACTCTGGAATACTTTATCGCTGAAGGAATTGAATGGACCAGTTCTAAAACCAACGCAAAGATTGATATCGAATGAATCAATTAAAAAAGAAACAAACGAAAATATTTTACTGATGAAATTTTCAAAGTAGCTATAAAAATACTGGAATATAAGAAATTGAATTACCGAAATATTCCAAATATACCTATAGAAATCATTGAACTCAATATAAACAACTGGAAGTCTCCTTTCTCGAATAGCACAGAGTGTGTCAGGGACAGCTGCTACAAGGATAGCTTGTGTTACAGTAACCTGCCTCTTTCACACTAATGTTGTTTAATGGCGGATTGCTGTATACATTTTCTTTCATCCGATAATTGGAGTACTTGGGATCTTTTTTTCATCTAAACAGGCAAAAAGAGTGAAAACAGAACTTCATTAGTTTTTGTTATGTGAAATATCGTTACATTTGGGGTGTTTTGCTTTTTCAAAAGGACTGAATTTGTTGGTGTGAATTGATTGTTGTTGAAAAGGTTTGTGATTTCAAATTGATAAACATTGGTTATTCATATTGTGTTGCCTTTGGATGCAAAACAAGCAAGACGAACAGAAATTGTTCTTCATGGATAAGTTGAAAATTGTTCGGATTCTTAGAAAAACGATGGTAATTTATTTTCAGAATGTGTCTGTGGATGTGTGTGTGGATCTTCATTACTTGCTTGGATTCTAAGGACGATGTTTTTCATATGAACATTGATTTGCCTACAACTTCCAGCTCCCAAATTTCTAAAGTATACTGATAATACAACCTAAACTGTTTCATTCGAGAAGGCCCATTTTCAGGTATGCCTTTGGAGCTTCTCCTTCTCCAAAAGGAAAAAATGAAGGTGTACATTCTGGGCGACGCAGATATTCATCTTTGATAAAACAATTCGGCCAAACATTGTACTTCCATTCACCTTTCATTCGATAGTGATATGTTCATGGAAAATTAGGCTTGAAATAGACCTAAGGTACTCAATACTATTCAAGAACCTCTTTTACATTTTTTTCTCTCGTTTATTTTTTTCTTCTGATACTGCTGAATTTTGTATTCATTTGACTTACTAATCCTGTAAGAATAAAAATGAAATTCCAATTTTGATTCAATAAAAAAATCAATAATTATTTTCGAATAATAATTTATTGATTGCATCATTATCCTTTTTCCTAAATGAATATTTATATTCAATCACGTTTACTATTAAAAAAAAGCTAAAAACGTTTAAATATTTCAAATAAAGCGAGCGCTTCCCATTTGCCAATATAAGAAAGAGATATGTTCGTAACCACTGCGGGTTGCCTGAACAATATTTTTGCCCCACTCGTGATTCACAGAGGATCCCTTCCAGTTGTTTACAATGAATTCATTGATCGAAATCGCAATATTTGGTACCAATTCATTTGGATATTAAGTAATAATGGTATCCCGATCCCTCTCACCGATCCCCTTCATATTCCTTTGTATACTTAAGCACAGACCTAAGAAATCAACATCTTTTATGCAACATACGAATCGGATATTTATAGATGAGTACGCAAATCATCTGTTAGTGGTCTTTTCAGCTAGTTGTTTTATGTGCAATATTTTTCCAGGTCGAAAAATCCAATTATTGAACATGATATTGAACTGAAGGATTCAAACACATTTCATTTGTCGTTAACATATATTATATTGGGTGTTTCTTTAGTTTCATTCGGACCAGGGAAGAATCACTTGGAAAGGGCCCTTCTGTCCCAAATAATTCTTAGTGATAATGGCTGAGGAATGAGTTTGACGAAATGAAAATCAACCGTCAATTAAATAATGTAAGAGGTTAGTTCTTAAAATCCATTAATATTTGAACAAATAACAAGTATTTGGTAATGATGGAGCTACACAAATAAATGTATCTGATAAATCAAGTAACATTACTAAACAGTGTATTTACTTTTGGGTGTATGATAAATTGACATTCATTTAGTTGCACAAATAACAAGTTGTCTGAAACAATTTGGTTATGATGGATCTCCTCTTTTATATATAATAGACACACACTTTGCATTTTTTCACACCTTCAGGGAACATTCCTTCTGGCAAACTTTATTTAATTACGTCTTCCAGAGGTTCAACTTCAAATGGAACACATGAACATAATGAAATACCTTCATCCAAGTCAACGCTTTTTCATTCTTAAACTTACTTACTTACTTAAAAAGAGAAGTAAGTAATTTGGTATACAGGGTTGGGACAGAGTATGGAACCAAGTGAATATCTTAGAAACTACTACGGCGATAATTCTTTTCAGAAAAATCAACATATCTCGAGAACTGATATATAAGTTGACATGAACAAGGTCACAGTATATTATCGTCCAACGTCAAAACTCAGAATTAGAAGGCCAATCAAACCATCTGAAAAAAATTGAAGTTTCTATTCAAAATAAGCAAGTTGGTGCCAACTTTTGGCACACCCTGTATAGATAGATAGATTAATAGATAGATTTATTTGACTACGTTATGCAAATACAAACATTTGTAGCAGGTCAGAACTTCACAATACCTATAATTTATCAATGAATAAATGAAGATATGAGGCGAAAATAAAAACATTAATATTAAATCCTATATCCTTCCTAGGTACGCACGATGTTCTTCAAACATCATAGAAATTTCCTTGTGAGCTCCAAGAGATACAAAAAATAATGATGTGAAGAAAATATATAGGTTATATACTATGAAAACTTTTGTACCAATCAATTAGTAGGTGGGCTAATCATAATATACTCAGCAACATCATAGTAACATTTGATTATTGATGCTTTTTAATATACCTGGAGGACTAAACATATTTCAGGTAGATTGAAAATGATTAATAATAACAGCATAACAATTTTCAAGTTATTAATTCAAGTGCCAGTTGGAAAATGTGTGGCCTACGTAAATCACCCTGTATATTTCCGGTTGAACCGGAAGTACATTATTAACAAAAACAATCACATCGGAAAATCGGAATATTTCAACTCAAGGATTTTTTGTGTCGACACTATTTATTATCGGTCAAAACGGTTTTCATGTCTCTATCTTAACTTTTGATTTACTATATACTGACATTTAATTGGAACAGATACAGGGTGATCAGAATTTTGAATCTTGAACCACACTGTATGTACAAATTAATTCTAAAATTCGATTTTGAACATACTATATCTCTGTAATCACTAGATCTCAAAGTGTGAAACATTGATGAAATCAGATTTTCAGGGAGGATATAAAAATGCAATGAAATACAAAGTGTTCGAAATATCAACATTGCAACTACTTTCTAATAGAAGTGACAACACTGCAATGTCAAGAATATTTCAGTTGGTTAGACAATGTCCGATTATACTCTCCATCAAATTTTCAAAGTGATCTGCTGTCTGGTTCACCAGAAACGTCTAATGTGAATCAGCCTGTATATGTATACTTTAGGAGGAAAGCAATAGGCAAAATTTGATTGAAAAAACCTAAAAAAAAACAAAATCAATTAATTCTTGACTTTGATTTTCTCACAGAAAATAACTTGAAATAAGAGAAGAATAACTACAAACATATTGACTTACCGATCTTAGTGAAGAATCCAACCTCAAAAAATCAAGACTAAGATTTCTCAGAGAAAATTGGTTGGAAACTAACAATGGGCGAGTGGACTGATAATGAATTATTGGCATTCAATTACTCCACTGTGTCGTTAGGAACCTAAATTGATTTTTGCAGCACTTGAATGCAGCACGTTGAATTTCAGAGCTCATTTTAAACGTAACGTCATGCCGGCCCATTTGGCGATACGTCGAATAAATGATGACGTCAGTTTTTATGCTGTTTCGTGATTGGTCAGATAATCTTCCATTTACACTCATGGAGCAAGGCTGTCGAGGCACCAATTATAATCAAGTTATCAAAAAGATGTTTGAGCATTGTCGTTGAATAAAACATAATAAGAGGAACTGATGACATTATATTTAGTTTATTCTTGACTTTTTCCAGCAACCAGCATGTCCAAATATTTCTCATTCTTCATAACATAATATCATGTGTATGTTGGAGACTTGGCAACAACTGAATGATGAGAACTGACAAGACCACGCCCACGAGTCAAACGCGGGATTGTCACGATGACCGATTCGAATGTCCTCTAGTGTGAATTGATATAATTATTATTTACAAAAATGTATAATAAGCAATAAGCCACAAATCATAAGGGAACATTTTGAGATAATTGAATTTTTATTGCTTATTAGGAATATTTCGAATACTCAATTGAGAATTTATGAATTATTCAATAACTAATATTTCTGAAGTTCCCAATCGTTTTTCAACACAAGGCAACTGTGCTATGGTCTGCCCCTACTCGTGGCGTCAGTTTCTACTGGCGATAAATTTGTAGCCGTTTGAAAATACCGTGGCATTATTGATGGGTGTAGCACCTAAAAATCTACCGAAACATTCTTAAAAAATATGAAATAATTGAAAGGTATTCGAGTAATGATTCTATTTAAGACATGAAAGAAAATAGAACACTCGCCTATTGGGAAAATATGATTGGAAGAACCTGAAAAAATCAGAACAAATCGATTTCTCACGTTAGTTTCCTCATAGAGGAAAAATAATGGCGATATACACCTTGACTTACATATCTCAGGAGGGGAGCAATCGAGGAAAAACTATTGGAAATCTTCAAAAAAATTTAAACCAATCTGTTCTTCACCTTGATTACCTCACAGAAAATGAGGTTAAATGTGAGAAAAAGAATAGCTATATACACATTGATTTACATACCATAGGAAGGACACAATTGGAAAAATATGATAAAAGAACCTCAACAATTTTTCTAGGTAGTCAAGAAAAAATGTTACCATTTCTCAAAATATATTCACCTGAACGATGATTTGTTAGCGACCACCTCCTTGACCCACTCAATGAAAGTATACAGCCGCAAAATCCCAGCGTCAGCCATACTTTCGACGAAGTTGGCGTCCTCGATAGAATCCCCGGCGTCAGCCAAAGACAGCCTCATTCCGTCGGCGCTGAACTTGTCGATGGCCTCCGAGAGCGACAAAAAATTGCCGTCCGACTTCGACATCTTGGCCGAATTCAGCATCAAGTGTCCGTTGGCCCGGATGCTTCTCGGCCACTTGTCCGCCTTTATCAATCAATTATTTACTCGATCAAATATGAAGGGAGTCCCGAAATTACATAGAGATTTTTCAGACGGCACTCAAAAAAAAACAAGATCAAGTGAATACAGAATTCCTTTTGCAGATTTATTTTTGGTTTGAGAAAATATATACTCGGGTCGATAATTTTTGAGGCCGAAAAAATTATAGTAGAATGAAACTATTGGAAAATGAGAATTTAACAAAGATGAAAGGAAAAATGAATTATGGACGATCTGAGGTAGAGAAGTGGAAGGGGTGATCTTTTAATGGTAAAAAACGGATTATCTCGATTTTAGGCAAAACTACAAGTCTAATGAAAAAAAAAATGGCAAAGTTGGAGGTAATAAGAAGATCAATAACTTTTGTTCTAACACTTTTTTCACATAACCTCAATATTCACATGGAGAGGTAAATTTTCACCCAATTTCGTGAAAAAACTTGATTTGAATTTTGCACAACAATTTAGAGTTTATGTGAAAAAGTGCTGAGACAAAAGTTATTGATCCTTTCACTACCTACAACTTTGCTAATGAACTTTTTTTCATAGGATTTGTAGTTCTGCCGGAAATAGAGATAATCCGTTGTTTACACTTAAAAGCTAATCCCTTTCCATTTTCCGATCTCAGATCGCCCGTAAATTATTTTTCCATTCATATTCGTTATATTCGCTTCCTTTCCCAATGGGGTTTCATTCTACTATAATTTGTTTTTCACTTTTTACCATTTTCAAAGGCTTCAGCACTGGTCTAATATGGCCATATTTCTGAAAAAAATCATCAGTTTGATAATGGTTGAATATGGCTAATCGGCGAACCGTCCAGTATTCTGTATGTATTCGAAAGATGGTACAGAGTGGTATGCCTATTTATTTACATGTGAAGTAAGTCCCCAGAAGAAGCATTCACGATGTTAGTGTTAGATTTCCTGATAATTTCAATATTCACCGATACTTAACAGCCATTTTCCGAAAGGGGTTTTCTTTTCTTGCTGCAGATACAGATATAAATAATCGCAATATATAATATACATTAAAATAGAAAGTGAATATGAAATTGCTAACAACAATAGTTGACCCTTTTTGCATTTTTTTTTCTCTGTGGCCGCTTCTTTTCAATGATATAATTATGATTTTTGATTCACTAATTTTTGTTTATGTCTATAATTAGGTGTTTTAATTCATGATGATTATCTTGAAGTATAGTAAATTGTATTAGTATCTTGATAGTATAGGTCGTCTTTATCATTCCGGTGAACACCGGAGGAATATACACATGTTTTTGTCCTTAATGGTTAAGTGTAAGAATAGCAATCGAGCTAAACTTCGCCTCCATCATTATTATTATTATTATTATTATTATTAATTCAACCACAAATTCTAGGAACATAAATAGTGAATAAAGTTTTTATTAACATGGTTTCAGAAATGCCCTTCTGAGGAGTTATAGCTAGAGTCACTGGATGGAATTAGTAGATAAGAGTTCGGACACAGCTGAACTTCTGTCCTTTTCTATTTTCTATATTATAATGGCTCGAGTGAACAAAAGATTGAGATATATATTCTGCTATTTTTCATTTCCTTGGAGTTCATTCACAATTGCCCAACTTTCAATATTTTTATTTTTTTGCTTTCTCTATAATTTTGTATCTTTGGGCAGTTTTGATTAATTTTCTGTAAATGTTCCTGATCTTGTTATAATAATTAGAAGAAGTTCCATCTGTTATATTTCCTGATTGTGGCAAATATCTTAGGTTTTCGACAGAAGTTCTAATACCTCTTCGGGCCACATGGCGCAGTGATTGAAGATGAAGTAGGTCAGGTGGTTTTGGACTAGGTCTTTGCCGGACACTCTGACGTCCACGGGGTACCAGTACTGGAACTCTCGTCGCATCACGTCGAGCGACTCCTTTTTGATGGTGCAGTTCTTCGGGTATTCGGCGTCTTTGAAGAAGACGTAGTCCCATACTTCGGGGGTGAGCTGTTCGGCTTTTATGTCTAGAGCGTTCGGTTGAGTTCCCCTACAAATAAAATATACTTTGAAGGGAAAAGAGTTCGACATTTAATCTCTATTGACAGGTTACTAAATACCACTTTTCACAAATTACTTTTTCTACAAGCGTGCGTGATTCACCCCATACCCGCACGCAATTGAGAAGTATCATTTTTCCGCAACAATGATATGATGTTATCGCAAAATATAAGTGGTTGGTGATGGAATATGAAAGTTTGAGCTTGTTTATTGCAGTATGAAGAATGTTTGTTCAGAATCATCCATCATTTATTTTGAAAATTCAGAAATATTGAGAAATAAACATTGATTTTTTATAATAATCCCCTAGAGACTTGGATTGATCTGATGTGGAAAACTATTGTTGTCATGCCAATCAAACCACAAATTAGATTGTAATTGTCGGAGTGACAGACAAAGCGCCACTGTCATTCTAGATTCAGTGGAATTGCCACACTAGATCATACCTGTGATCAAAAACTTCCACAGCAACAGATGCGATACTGATGCGTTATTGCCAACGAAAGGTATGCGGATTATTGAATGATGCAACAATAAAAAATGAAAACACCAAATGAAGAATAAGTATTTTTGGTTCATTTCCTAAAAATTTCTTAAACCTAGAGGCCAAAAACCTTACTAATAATTAGTAGATAATATTCCTATTCACATTGAACTAATCAATTAATTTCCTACGCTTGTAGAAAAATATTGTTCCTAACTCATGCAGAAAGTGTATTTCCCGCACTCCTCTGCATGCTTGAACTCCGCTTCGCGTCCTTCCGTTCACCAGCAGTCGCATGCGGGAAAGTATCACTTTCTGCACTTGTTAGGAAAATTACTATCTTCCTCACGGGAAAAAATGAGTACTCTTTCCCGGATATAAAAGGTGTCCCATGACTCGATCGCCATAGCTTATGGGCATATTCCTTATACAATTTTGAGTCGAAAGTGTCTGGTACACTTTCGTTTTTAACTCAATAGTTACGGAGTTATGAAAAATGTAATAACAACTTTGCTCACCAGTGGATTGCAAGAGGTGGTCCAGTTCTTTGGTCACCGAGGTCACCTGACCTGCACTATCATCTTTTGAGACCCATGAATAGTCTAGTATATCCAAATAAACCTCAAACCAGAGATGAGCTGATTCAAAATATCATGACTATTGACTCCATAAGACACGATCAAAGAGCAACGTTATCAGTAATTAGACGAGCAAGAATGTGTGAAGCAGCGGGCGGACATTTTGAACATAATCTTGATTAGATTTGTGTATAAGTAATCGAAAGATAACATATTATATTACTTTATTCACCGACATTCTCTTTGCGTCATTATACACACTCTGCTATATTCAATATTGCTAATTACTTATTCTCAACTATAAAGTTTTAGACAGAAGTGTATATGGCACTTTCGATTTAAAATTGTTCAAGGAAAATGCCCTTAAGCTATGTTGATCGAGTCCAGGACACCCTGTATATGTGCACTATTGATGGCTTTTGTTATGCCAGTTCCGAAAAATATGGCAATAACACCGTCTTCGAGAATGAACTGGAAGGCCTTTTCATCTCCACCTCGCAGTTCCGCAAATTACTGAAAAACCATGAAGTTCGCATTTTTTTTAAATCAAATCACGGAATTAAATTGACAGATATTCTATCACTTCAGAACGTTTCCATTCGCAAAATGCACAACAGGTACGACAGCTATGTTTACTCAGTTGAACTGATATAAAGTATATAAATTATTTGTGAGAAAGCGTTTGTCATTATGTTTGTTATATACATATATGACAGCTCTTATTCAGTCGAGACGGTTTTCAAAGTAGCTGTTTGGTGAAGTGAGTGATAAACGGTTTTTTTTGTGTTCAAAATGGTGTACCTCAATTTTAATTGTGTTGATTTCTGGTTAATCTAGACATGTCCCTCTTGAACTCATAACGATGAAACTTCGTATCTAAGTATTCATCCATAGAATGACTACTTCACCGGTTATATCAACTCATTAGATTTTGATACATGGTGAATTGAAGAAGAAGAAATATTAAAATTTTCCATTGAATAACTAACACTCTTAAAATTTTTTAAAGGGGGGATTTCAGCTATGCCTGAATCAAAAGAGCTATCCACTTTTTACGAGAAAAATTGCCCTAATAGTCGTTTTTGAAATTTTGGCCCCATCAACAAAATAGTTGGCCTTGAGAATCTGAATATATCAGAGTTGCCCACATCACATTTCCGAAGAGAGCTTTTTGAGTACTATATTATAGAATGTGTGTTTTGGACAATTGGTCAACGGGTTCTAATTTAGGAGGGTTTCCCACTCACTGTAGATGGCGATACATCTGTGATATAGGTGAAATCAATCAGGGATCAATAAATAGCACATGTGGCGTGATGGTATTATTAATGTCCATATTGAACTGGTGGGTTTGAAGGATCTGTCGATTATAATATACTTGAATGAGTTCGGAAATTCACCCTGAAATAGAAAGGGTGAAACAAAAATTAAAACCCAAAGAATTTCAATAAAATAAATATCATGTTTTCATTACATCATGTTGATAATGGTGTCGGAAATCATTGAACCTGATATCATTTGCAAGAGTGGATGTGTTGTGAGGTCAATATTTTTTTATCAGTCAATTATACCAGATATGGTTCTCTTTATTGAATTCGATTATAGAAACCATGTTGCAGTCCAGACTTTGGAAACATGAATATTAGGAATTGACAGTGTTCAACTCGTCCAATCCCCTTACCAATCCGGCACTTTCTTCCAGATAGCAGCACTGTTTATTTGTGTTAATGTATCATGGTATTTCGTTTATGCAATATTCCTATATATTTTACAAATTTACTAACCTGAATGTATTTCCTTGTAGCAAATGAGCAATAGTATAATATGCCATATAGATAGTGGAATCTGACAGAGATTCAATCAACCACTTTTCATCCCACGGCAATTTAGTTCCGAGACCGTAAGTCCTGGAACAAGCATATTCATGTAACCACTTAATACAGCCCATGAAGTTTTTTCTGACTTCGTCATGATAGGTGTTCATTTTTTCCAGAGACTGTAAGGCTTGCTTCTTCCAGTCTTCCTTTCCATAATCGATATACCATTGGTCGCAGAGTGCTACTACGCATTCGTCGCCAGAACGAGACATGACTTTTTTTTCGGGTTCGTAATAGATGGCAGCCTCGTTTTTTTCGAGCAGTGCTTTTTGGAGGGATTTTTTTACATCCTGAACTTTCTTTCCTTTAAATTCTCCTACTAACATGATCTGCAATCAAAGAATCACAGAAAACGTTTATTAGCCCATTTTGCAGATTGAGTCTTCCATATTTTCTGAACTGACATATTAGCGACCTAAAATTATCATCCGCACTTCTAGGGGCAGAAATCGAAGTAGCCTAAGAATAATACTTGCCAACTGTCAATCAAGAAACGTTTTATAAGGCTTAACTTCTAGTTATCTAAGTTTACTGTAACTGGCAGCAAAAGTATCTGCTAATTCGGCTATGAGATGACAAGTACAAATTTAGAGTTTAATCCAAAGCTAATTAATGACATAACATTATCAACATATTACTTTTTTTTTATGTGATGGAAGAAATCGATTTTATTAGTGATGATGATGAGGCTTTTGATGTATCATGGATTATGAGAGGACATGAACTGTGAGAAAATTATTATAATGATGATGAAGATTTATCTAAAAGGATTCGTTCATAAAAACCCACAGTGTTGATAAGCAAATTGAAGATGTTGAAAACAGATAGATAGGAACCCAACTCATACTCGTAAATGGATCAGCTTTTGTTTGTTTGTTCTAAAATTTGTTCTATCCGTCATTCGGACCCCCAGGGTTCAATATTGGGACCGATATTATTTATTTTGTTTATTAACGATATCATCAAAAAAGTCAAAAAATATTAGTTGAAATTATTCGTTGATGATACTTTGTTAAACTTTGCTGGTGAAAAAGAAGAAGTTGAATCATCTTCAAATGAGGACTTGAGCCGCATCTTTACATGGTTTTGTGATAATGGACTGATGCCTAATCTAGAAAAGACCAAATGTATGTTGATAGCTAACAAAAACAAACATAAAACATTGAAAAACGATGATTAATAATTGCATAATTCAAACTGTAAAAACCGATGAGTACTGAGTAATGATAGAAATGAGTAATGATAGATAAGGTATTTAATATATTTTTTTCTGTGACGGGAAAAAAGTTTGGCATTTCATCCCTGTTGCCAGGTTATAAAATGTCACTTTTCATAAATTACTTTTTTCCCGTGGGAAAAAAGTGAGTACTTCTTTCCCGGATATATATCACATATATATACACTGTTGATGGCTTTTGTTGTGCTATAGTTCCGAAAAATGAGTCAATAATACCGTCTCCGAGAAAGAACTGCAAGTCCTTTTATCTTCCATTCGACTTCGCGGTTACGTGTATTGCTAAATAACCACTGAATTCGCAATTTCTTGAAATAAAATCACAAAATTAGACTGACAGAAGTGACATCAGATATTTGATTACTTCAAATGAATGATAAAGATGCCTACAACGCGGTGTCCCTACTGTTAAAAACTTAAAATTTCACGTCGATAATTTTCAGATATCGAAATAATGTAATATCTTCTCAATATTGTTTCGTCCTTTCTTCTGTCAGAGAAAAAAATAGTGTATTATACACGGGAAAAATATTAGATTTTAGCTCACGGTTTGTTGTCTCCCTCCGCTACGCGTCGGGAGACAACACAACCTGAAGCTAAAGTCTACTACTTTTTTCCCTTGTATAATAAATAACTATTTTTCATCACTTGGTGCGCACGAAAGGGAACGAACACTGTGATTATATGAAGAAAAATATTGCAAATAAATACTTCTTGTACAGACTCAATGGTAAGGGAAAAACTACACAAACGATTAGATTTCCACAAAATTCTCAAACACATGACGTTTCCCTAACACAGTAGCTTCCTCAGGTGATATACTGGTACAATGAACTAAACTAACCTTGGCTTGCTCAACTTTTATGTCCTACTTTCTCAACCTGAAGGATTAGTTACCTGTGGACGAAGCCGGGATTGGCGCAGTGGAAGAGCGTCCGTCTCACGACCGCAAGGTCGTGGGTTCGATTTCCAGCACGGGCAAGGAAATTTTTTCAATATTTTATTTACGAATTAAATATTGTAAAGTTTCGGAGCATCGGCTGGGGATAGTCCTGCACGATTCGCTGTTGCGTTCCAATTAACAGTGCTGCTCCTAAAGTGGCGCATGGAGTTAGTAACAAAGCCTACACAGAACACGCAGAAAGATATGATGATGTGGTTGTGAGCGTCAGAGAAGAAGTAGGACGGTGTATGTAGGTGGGTGTGGAAAAAAACTACCAGCTGAGCGTGAGAGCGGGCCAGCTGCTTAAGTAGACCTCGGTCTCGGGGGTTAACGATGATAGTTAGCAGGCCTGCCACTGCGCATATGGTAGTGAGTACATTACTAGCCTACAAAACACAGCTGAAAAACTCTGAAAAAAGAGAGCTGATGGGCGGTGCCTGAAAAGGATGTTAGCCAGCTCTCTTGAGCGAACCACATCAGTCATTGAAAACACTTGGGGTTGGCAAAAAGGTCCCATTGGGGACTAGTTGCTGACGTGGAAACGTCCCCCACCAGTACCAGTACCAGTACCAGTACCTGTGGACAGGTTCAATAAACTTTCATTTTCGGAAATTAGGCACAATATCTACATTAAAATACGGTGTACAGCATTAACTTGGAAGGATTGAGTACTAAGAAAACAAATTCAACAGTGGTGAACTATTGAGGTTTGATTGATCGTTAAGTAAAATGTCAGAATTTTTGAGTTTGTTGATTTCTAAATATAATCTTAATTATATGAGATGTGTGTGAATTGTGGTATGTCATTGAGAGGGGAATTGTATATGGAAATGTAATTCTCCAAAAAAGTTGCTTCTCATTGAAATTAAAACAGGTGAGTATACTTCCGACCAAACCTGCATTATTTTATTGACCTGATACTTAGTCGAATTGTACAAAATTTTATATATCAGAATAACAACAAAGATACAGAGTGAATTGGTTCCGGATCACTCAGTATTCTTATAACTTACGATGAATAAATATTTCAAAATTGCACATCACATTTTAGGGTAGGTATCTTTCAATAGAAGAAATCCTGCATTACCAATTCATTTTCAGCTTTTGCAACAATATTCTCAAAAACTTACACCATCATAAAATCCTTTCAAATAAACCATTTCTTTAGCTTCCAGCAGCTTATCCTTATCATTTTGACTCTGAATTTTCAATTGGTCATAAACCGTCACTGCCGCAAGGTTACCAAAGCTGGGCACATCGATAATAGGTACCGGTTCAAAGGGTAATACCATTTCATCTGTGATATCGTATTTTTCTCTGAATGCTTGTTTCTTCTTGAGATCCACCATAGCTGCATAGTCATCAGGTGAGTCAGATGGAACACTGGTGACTACCCCTGTTCCTTTGTCTTCCTTTATCGTTAGCATGGGCAAGGTGTAGATTTTACTATACTTGGACATTGGACTACTTAAGCCACATCCTAAAAGATCCTGTAAACAACTTGAATAAGTACAGCTACAATAATGAAAGAAAATAAACAGAACAAAACTTATTTTACTATGGTATATGTTTGTGATGCTGCCTAGCACCAGAAAATCAGTCACAAGACGATACATTTGGACGTCATCTCAATCCCTGATTTATAATTGAATAAAAAATAATGATTGGAGGTTAAATTTCTCTAAATTTACTAGCTCGAAATTTCACTTCACTTCACACTTTATTTGAAAATTGTTTAATTCTAATTCGGATGTTTTTGGAACGAATCTACTCCCGTTTTCAACAAAAAAATAGAAACACTTCTCAGTGATAGAAGTTTATACAAGAAAGTGAGTTAATTGTTATGAATTGATATTGACTTTACCATTTCCATGTTCAGATATTAGTAGTGAGTACCATGTTCTGTCTATTAGCGGATTCATTAATAGGTTTCAAGTGATAACTCAAATCTGAAAGAGCAATCATCAAAGAATGGTAAGTACAGTTACTTGTATCTTTTTTGTGAATATCAATATGCAGGTGAAACAAGGAAAACAATATGAACCAAAGATATATCGACAAATCAAAATCGGCTGAATATATCCTTGTTGAAAATGGACAACATATGGCAGAGTGGGATAACATTAGAATCATAGGAACATAAGAACCTAAGAAGAAAAATCGAATAAACCGCTTGCATTTTTCTTAATAGAAAAAATAATATGGTATTTACTCATTAAATCGAAATATGAAAATGGTGAATTCTAGATCAATCAATAAAAAGATCATGTAATTCAGTTTCTTGAATCAAGTCCTGTCACTGAGTGTCGATAGAGGAAACCAAAGACATTTTGCGCAGTGACATTTTGGGACACATCATCTGATTTGTCCTTATTACAAGTATATTGAAATACTACTAATATGTTTATAGATGAAGACAAGGACAGAACATCCCAGACATTTATAGTAATGAATGGTAACTACAATTAGCACTTCTATACTCCCACCATTTTTAGGAATATTAGATATTTCTAATTTAGTTACCACTATTTATAATGAATGTGGATACTATATATAATCCTCATGCCATTCTTTTCATCTGTGTAAAGAAAAAATTTAAGAAATGAATATGACAAATGAGAAATTTGCGAAATGGGCAGTAATTCCAGAATTAAAAATTACAAAAACGTCCTGAGAATGAAGTTCCAATGAATCATAATGTGAATGACTTGGGTGCGTTGCGCAATTCCTAATTCTCAAGATGCGCAATTCGCGGTCGCCAAAGTCATTATATGACGTTCTGACGACATTAAAAACTAAGGGAAAAAAGTCTAACTTTCAATCTATGCCAGGGATTGGGCCGTTTTCCCGTAGTTTTTAATGTCATCGCAACATCATCTAACGACCTTGGCGACCGCGAATTCTAACCATGCCTACCCTCACCCTCATATCGACGATTACCGAGGAACGCAGCGTTGCCAGGTTATGAGAAGAATTCAGAAGACACACCATGCCCAATCCTTATGATGCCCCAATCTCGCAATAGCCGAATCTTCCATGCGCATCCTTCATAAATTCTCATCATGACCACTTTTCATAGATTCTCACGATACCCAATTCTTACAATGACCAATTATTACTAAGCTACAATTCCGGAGAATCCTACCATGCCCAGTATTCATAGATTATCACCATACCCAATTCTTACAATGCCCAATTCTTACTATGCCCAATTCTTACCATGTCCACAATGACTATAGGTCTCGGTCTAGGAGTAGCTTTAGGGGTAGATTTATGCATTCGTGACTTGGAAATAACGAGGCAACATGAAAAGAAAAATTGTTTATTGAAAATGCAACGAACCAAACGAAAAGAAAAACTACAACATATGGAATGTGAAGATATAAGGGTTACTCATCAGGGTAGAAAGGTGTCAAACCACGACCTCATCGTTCGGCTTTGCAAAAACGAATGTCCCTCTGATTGATTTCCCTACTCCTAGAGTTAATTATAATTATTGCTTATAATTATAGCTTAGCTGAGACTGCATATCGGAATAGGAAGCAAAATATGAATTTAACAAATAATATCTAACATGTTGAATAAAATGATTTTAGGAATTGATTTAATATTTGGTTCGTGATATCGATCAGATTATGGGATTTTTCCTGAAGCTTGACAATATCCACTTGTCATAGATTTTCATCATGATCAGTTTCTAGCATGCTCACCTTCCGCAGATTCTCACCATGCCCACCTTGCCTACTCTCCACGGATACTCGCCATTTCCTCTTTCAATTTTCAATACATCCTCAGAATGGTGAGAATCAGATATTGTAATAATTGAAATTGACGACATGAGAGAGCGGGCATCGCGAGAATTGGGCTACGCGAGAATTGGGCATTGCGGGAATTGATCATCGCGAGAGACTTTTCATCACAAAAAAATCTGATGCCTTCAGGCAGCATCATAAACAGAGACCATAGTTGGGATCTCTTGATTTTCCATCATTATTGATGTCGAAAAAAAAGTACTTCTGACTCCGAAAACCGCAAATGGATCAATTCCTTCGAAAAATACAGGTTGCCAAATTCGGAGTGAGGCACTTAGTGACTTAGTGTGTTCAGAAATGTTTGAGATGATTATGAACAACACTAGTATTTATTAATTTCAATAGAAAATAGCATGTACACCCGGTGTCTCCGTATATTTTGACCCCTACATACAGCTTTAAGTATACGAGGAAAAAAGTTAAGATATGAAAGTTGCAGGATTTCATCTGTTTCTTCTGGCAATCCTCAACAGAACAGATGCGAATTGCAAAATGACAAATTAGAGTTCAAATCAGTTTTAACGAAACAGCCTATATATTTTCAATTCTAGTGAAAGATCTTTTTATACAACTTGGACGTTATACAGGGTGTTGCGAAATTCGACCGACAACGCTTGACAGGTGATAGCCCTCGTGATTTCATAATCATTGAGATAGGGACATACGGTCTTCAAGTGTTCAGTTCTCGAGATACAGGGCGTTGAAGTTGAGAAACTAAAATAGTTTTTTCGCAATATCTCTAGAAACATTGGATAAAATGCATTCAAATACGGTATATGGTTTCATCTTTCAATGGTTCATTATTGACCAGAAAGCCTTTCGGAGAATGTTATCCAGAGGTGCGCTACGGGGGGTTGTGATAACTTTTCCTCCCATATTTTTCTACGCCACTGATGACATTTCGATTATTCACAATTCCTCGAATTTATGTTACAATTTTGCTCAAAAAATGCATCACCTTCAACTGAACAGTTTTCGAGATATTCGACCCAAAATAGAAGAATAATATTTCATTATTTTCAGTAGTAGAAAATTGCAAAAATATTTTTCTGGTGTTCAGTAGATTAGATACTATTCAGATCTCATTCTGTAGCTGAACATAAATAGTTATTCCACGCATAAAGAGAAAACAAACATTTTTGTAATCTTTTACTACTGAAGAAGATGAAAAATTACTATGCAAACTTCTATTTTGGGTCAAATATCTCGATAACTGTTCATTTTAGCTCAGTTGAAGATGATGCAATTTTTCAACATAATTGAACAATCAATTCGAGAAATTGGAAATAATCGATATTTCATCAGTGACGTAGAAAATATGGGAGGAAAAGTTAACACAACCCTCTGTAGCGCACCTCTGGGTAAAATTCTCGGAATATCTTTCTGGTCAAAAAATTAACCATTGAGAGATTTCATTTCATTTCATTTCATTTCATTTATTTATGTTAACATACAATTGTATTTACACACGTCAAGCCATAATACATAATTTAATTACTGTTACAAAAAATATAAAATATACATATACTAATACAAAATAATTTTACGACACTGTACTGAGTACCTTAAAGTTATGTTAAAACTCGTTTCTTATCAGAAGTTGTAGTTTAAAAATTCATCTATTGAATAAAACCTGCGTTGATTGAGTAAACCTCTTATTTCCTTCTTGAAATTTTCAAATTCTAAATTTATGATATTGATAGGAATTTTATTGTAAAATTTTACAGCCAAGTACCCAGGGCCGTCTTGACACCTTGTTAGACGTTGATGAACTGGTATTAACCTATTCCTACCTCTTGTCTGAATTTCGTGATTTTCAGCGTGAGTCCTATATAAATTTTTATTTTTGTGAACGTACATCAGGCATTCGAGTATGTATACACATGGCAGAGTCAACACATCAAGCTCACCAAATACCTCACGGCAGTCATCCATATACCCCAGTCCTGCAATAATTCTCATAGCCTTTCTTTGCAACGCAAATATTCTCTTTGACTGTGGTACGTGCCCCCATACCAATATCGCACTGTACATCACAGAATGGAACATTCCAAAGTAAGCTGTCCTCAATGAAGAAATAGAGACATTACCAGCTAGAGAGCGAAGAGCAAATAAGCCACTCCTTAATTTGCTTGCCACCCCATCAATATGCACACCCCATTGCAGCAGTGGGTCAATCTGTACCCCCAGAAATTTCACACTACTCACGTCACCGTTGGTCACACCCGTGTCCCTAGTTGAAAAGACAATCTTATTTGTTTTTCCAGTGTTGAGTAGAAGTTTGTTGGCACAAAACCAACTCTGGATGTTATTTTGAATATCTACTGTACTCCTTAGAGCCTCTTCTAGTGTATTTGCTGAAATGGCCACCGTCGTATCATCCGCAAATAGTGTGAATTTTGCTCCTGGCTCTATAGATGGCAAGTCATTTATATATATTAGAAACAAGACGGGCCCCAAGACTGAGCCTTGGGGCACCCCGATTGTGACATCCTTAAGTGCCGATGAAACACTATCTACTTTCACAGTTTGTTTTCTATTTGTTAGGTAAGACTTGAGAAAGGTAAAACTATCTGCTGAGAAGTGGTAACTTTTTAGTTTGCGCAAAAGAATTTCATGTGACACACAATCAAACGCCTTACTCAGATCACAGAACAAGGCACTTGTAAATTCTAGATTATTAAAAGCTTCATAAATATATGATACTAGATCCAATATTCCCAATACTGTATTCTTATTTTTCCTAAATCCAAATTGACATTCTGTAAAATACTTATTTTCTTCGAAAAATTTTGTTATTCTGATGGCAGTACATTTTTCTAGTATTTTTGATATGATTGGCAGGAGAGATATAGGTCGGTAATTCTGGGGTAAGTCCAGTTCACCACTTTTATATATAGGTATAACTTGAGCAATTTTTAGAACATCTGGAAAAATATTTTCCCTAAATGCCTGGTTAATTAGTTTTGTAAGAGGGTTGATAATAATGTTTTTCACAGATTTGATCAATTTCACATTGAGTCCGTAGATGTCAGAACTAGTTATGGTTTTTAAGTTGTCAATGATATCTCTGATTTCAATAACTGAGGCTTCGGAAAATGAGAAGGGAGCTCTGGGAGCGAGAGGATTTCCCAAATAATTAATTGGATCAGTTTGCGATATGGGTATTTTCTCAATAACATTATTTGCAATATTTGCAAAAAAATCGTTAAATTCCTCTGCCAATATTCCACCAGTTTCTATTTTCTGTTTCTTTTTATTTGAACCCCTAAGATTGTTTATTATTTGCCATGTCATTTTAGATGGATTGGCAGCATCTTTTATTAACTTGTCATTGGCTTTTATCTTGGCTTGTTTAATAGCAAATCGATATCTCAATTTAAATCTATTATATTCCTGCCTCAGTTCTATGCTGTTGTGATGTCTATACAGTTCTCCCAAAAAATTTAAATGATCACGCATAGCCCTTAGAGTATCATCAAACCATGTTGTATGATGCCCCTGACTAGCTCTTATTTTATATGTCTTTTCAGGAAAAGATATCTTATAGGTTTCTTCCAAGATGGACATGAATTTACTGAATTTTGCATTCACACACAAATTCCTATCATTAACAAAGTTCCAATCACTAGCTTCAATTATACTGTAAAAAACACACATACCAGACTGGGTAATTGGCCTACATACCTTCTTCTCTAGCTTCACCTCTGTACTGGTATCAGTAATTGGTACCAACAACCTTTGACCCAGATGATCTGATATACTAAGGTCTATTGTATCAGCTGAAAAAGAATCAGTGCTGAAATTCACAAATATATTATCTAGACATGCTCTAGCTCTAGTGGGTGATGTGATTGTTTGTACAAAGCCATAACTCTCAAGACTATCTCCCAAACGTTGATTTTCTATCTCATTTGTATTGAAGTGTATGTTAAAATCACCAGATGAAACCATATACCGAATTTGAATGCATTATATTCAATTTTTCTTGAGATGTTGCTAAAAACCTATTTAAATTTCTCAACTTCAACGCCTTGTATCTCGAGAAATGAACACGTATGTCCCTATCTCAGTGATTATGAAATCACGAGGGCTATCACCTGTCAAGCGTTGTCGGTCGAATTTCACAACACCCTGTATATTTTTTCGATCGCATGGTATTGTCCGGCGTTAGATCTTTCATTTCATTTCTTATTTCTTCGAGATTGTAATCACCGAAACGGCATTTTTCATTCATTTTATGTGTTTATTGACTTTTATTTTCGAATCAACAAACTTTGTTCTCCTGCCACAGCGCTCTCAATTCAAATAAGCTCTATTAACCTCTCTTCATTGCAGTCCATCAACCATAGGCCATCAACAGAACGCTTATGCAACTAACAAAACAATACTCAGCATTGTGGATAAGAGATATATTCGATAGGTTTGCTGCTGCGGTATAGTGGACGCGTCGACTATGCGTCGACGGTCACAGATAGCATTATTTTTATTTATGGTCGTTTGCCGTTTTGTCTTGCAAGTAAGGTTACGTCAAAGTTATGATTTATTAATTATTTTGAATTTAAGAATATTGTTCGGTCTATTAAATTTGAAATAATGGTGTATACCTATCAAGTTTTTGGTAGAGAATTGAAGAATTAGTGATTTTGTAATTATATTATTACAGCATCGATAGTCTTCTGGTGAGTCATTATTATTTTTTGTTTCATACACTGCCAATGAGGAAGCGAAATACTAAATCGAAAACACAGCCATGTAGGTATCCTCGGGTATCCAGTAGCCAATGAACTGCCGAAATACAAAAACGAAAACATCATGTTTTCGATCATCAACACAGACATTTCAACCAATCAAAAACGTGTATTTTATAATGGGTGAATCTGTATAGTTTGATAATGTATCCTCAAGCCATTTTTCACTTATTCATCATTGAATCAAAGTTGTCTATAACATTTAGATGAATGTGGACCAACAGAAATGCCATGGAAAAATTAGAATCACTGGAAAAATAACGAATTTTTGACATACCTATTGGTTTTTCAATTAAAATGGAGAGAAAATATGACATAGTAAGATTAGATTATATTATGAAAATATTACAAAAATGTCAGTAGTGCAGCAAAAATTTAGCCGAAAACGGTAAGCGGTAAACATTAGCAAACTATATACAGTGTGACCCATTTAAGATGGAAGCACCCTTATAAAACTTACATTTTTCAACCGATTGGAATGATTTTTTTTTGTTAGGTAGATATTCAAAAAGTCTATTAGGACACCAAATATCATGAATAAATCTCCATTTCCAGGGCCAACTAATCTGATTTTTCAAGGTCAAAAATCTAAAAAAATTACTAGCGATTTTTTTAGAAAAAATCTGACTACACCACTGGATTTGTGACATTTTCAAATGAATAACATGTAAATTACGTTGAAATGCGTCAATCAATAAAAAAGTTATAAAGGAATGAAATTTGAAAAATATGCCGTTTAATCAACCCACCAATTCATGTTCAGGAATTTTATGAAAATTCTGTATACTCCACTGGATTCAGGATGTCTTGAAATATTACTGATCACAGTTTCATCGAAATCTGTTCAGTAATAAAAATTGATGGGTTGATTAAACGGCATATTTTTCAAATTTCATTCCTTTATAACTTTTTTATTGATTGACGCATTTCAATGTAATTTACATGTTACCCATTTGAAAATGTCACAAATCCAGTGGTGTAGTCAGATTTTTTCTAAAAAAATCGCTAGTAATTTTTTTAGATTTTTGACCTTGAAAAATCAGATTAGTTGGCCCTGGAAATGGAGATTTATTCATGATATTTGGTGTCCTAATAGACTTTTTGAATATCTACCTAACAAAAAAAAAATCATTCCAATCGGTTGAAAAATGTAAGTTTTATAAGGGTGCTTCCATCTTAAATGGGTCACACTGTATATTTGGGAACAGAGAAAAATATCTCCCACAACAGTTGAAAATATACTGGGTGTTTCATTTAAAAAAACTGATTCGGACTTTTCTTTCAATTTTGCAATACACATTTAAAGATAGTACAGATGGACCTCTACAACTTTCATATTCTAAGTGTTTTTTCCACCTCGTATGGCTGAAGTCTTAGGTAGGGGTCAAAATATAGGGTGACATGCAATAAATTACATTACAGCAATAACATGAACTCTTCTAAATGGATACTTTCTGCTTATTTTCATTGATGTGTTGTACTTACTAAAGAACAATTTTTAGAACTTGTGTTTTTGCTTATTGCTACAGGTATGTTTCAGTGATCCGAACTGAGGATCCATCATTAGTTTCTTCCTCGGTTTTTTCTAAATCTCTGATAATACTTTTTGAAATATGAGGATGCCAAATTATTCACAATTGGCCGCGATTAGTCCAAAATCAGCACAAACAATTTCAAGATTAAAGTCACACTGTAAATTATTCACATCTTTCAAACCATGATTTTCATAGTTTTTCAAAGAATTAGGAGAATCATATGCAAATATCGATTTATATTTGCTCCAATACATACCTGGCCAACTAGTTCCAAAATGATATCGAATTTTCCTTCCGTTTTTGTGAAGCCTTGGTAGGCCATATTCCTGGCAGCTCTTTCTGTGCAAATATAGATTTCGCTGGTCTTAGTTTCGAAAGCTATGTACTTCATATCGGGTCTCAACCAACAGTTAGTTTGTCCATACATTGTTTCAGGTCTCAAAGTTGCTGCTACCAGAAATATCGATCTCTCAGCTAATGAGCTGGAATATGAAAATATATACAAGGTGATTCAGATTTTGACCAAAAAAAGCAGTTCTAGGAGGGATCCACGATCCACCCTGTAAGTAGCTCCTCTCCTTGTTGGGACAAGGAACATAAATTGATAATGAAATGAATGACATTTCAATGCCAGTGAATACAAATTTTCAAAGATATATTTCATATGGCCAACTCCACAAAAATAATTGATTTCTTCAATATACCTTAGTTTGGATGGATATGGTTCCAAAACTTTCATTTTAATTAACGTATATTCTTGTGGTCCAACCCCTTCTCCTGAGGAACGATCATGATCCATACAGGGTTGTCCGTCACGGACAGAATATATTGTGTATCTTTTGCCGAATTGAATCTTATTTCTCTTCCTGAGATGGAGGAATTGCCATCTGATAAAAGAGTCATAGAAAGAATTTACTTCGGTTGTGATGAAAGTTCTTCTCCAGTCAGTCTAAAATATAGAAAATCAAAATTCGAAGGAATAAACGGATCATTACAAAAATGTTGGCCAAACCACTTTACGTCGTTGCTTATCAAAAATTACTTCATATTTCTACACTCGCCAAATGATTAAATATGAACTCACGGGTTGGTTATACATATAGCAACCACTATCCGACATCTCTATGAAATACATATAAAATATATGTTTGAAGCCATTTGCACAATACATCATAGCAAATTCCAGTAGAGAATGAAGTAGATGGCATGGATAGCATAGACTGCTTCACACTAGTAAACCCTTCTAATACAAAGAATTGACACTGAATTTTGAAGGTGAGGTGAGACAATTATATATTTCTGAATCTGTAGCTAACATCGGCAGTATTTTGTGGAAAATACCAAATGAATGGAATAATTACGTTTTTTACAATAAAAGGGAATGGAGGTTATAGTATCTTAGTGTTTATTACTACTGGAACAGCTACCACTAACTATAGATGCCACTGCTAATACAATTCATGTCTTGCAAATATGGTCAACTGATATTACTAAAAATGTTTGTCCTGATATGGAATAATTATATCCAGAGGTAGGAGCTTACGCCAGACATTTGGCAGGAACTTCAAAAATTCTTGCTCCAAAATGTTTCTTTGCGATTTTCAAGGATCCTCTTGATTATGAGACCAAAGTATATCTATTCAATCGAAAGATAGATTAAACACAAACAAGTTTCTTGATAGTTTCTTTTTAGAGTGATACTTTTCATGACATATCAACATGGAAGATTATATTTGAACATTTTCGAATTCCCATTTAACCAAATTTGTATCTCCTCCCTTTTCCGAGATGTCCATGCTGTGCAACCTTATGTTAGTCACACTGTATACCTATTAACATTGTACACCCAATACCGAATGGATATGAATTTGAGGTCAAACAGATTCAACATTATAAGAATAGCTAACTTGTTTTGGCCAAAATTTTTGTAATCACCCTTATGAGTATTATCATACATGCAGACCAAATCTATTGAGATCATCTACAGCTCTGGGAGGAAAATAATCCAGCCAATATAATGCATCTGCAAAATTAGGTATTTCTTCATCAGATAATCCTAGACTTCTCATGATCTGCCATTGGAATTTTGCACTCCCAGCTTTGGCAACTACTTTACTCTGAAAAAAAAGTACAATTTGGCTGGTATTTTGGAAATTCTCTGAGGGATAACAGAATCAGTTGTCGTGTCGTGAACGAAACATCAGGGATATGAAGAGTATCACCCAGTATGTAGTAGGACAGAAACATGATGAAAACATGAAAACATAATATCAAACAATATTTTGCGTTTTCAGATATGTCCAGAAATTGACACATGAAATCCCTTTCTGTAGCAGTAAAAATCAATAGAATATTATGAATTTATTTATTTTGCACCATTTGTTCGAATTGGGCCTAACAGCATAATATGCACCTCATTTCCTATTCAAATTATGTTATCTAGTTCAGAAACTAACTGCCTTTGAATATGAGTTATAAAAGACTAGTGCATTTTTTGTTCATGGGCCTTTTTGAAGTGATTGGAAAAATCATATATTGTTATTTCATATTCTGTACCACGCTAACTATCCTGTGGAAGTAACCACATGTTAAGTTCTACTAACGGAAGGCCTTTTAATTTACTTTGCACGTTTTCATTTTTCACCCTGTGGTGTTTCAGTTATTTTTTGTAAATCTAAAATATTTTTTTCATTATTTTCATAAATTATTCAGGAGATCGAGAGCATACGAAAACAGTAGTTCATGAATAACCCTAGGCTGTTGGTGACACTTTATACTAAATTCATTTTACCGCATTATTCCCAAGATAAAAACTGATAAAATCGTAATTAAAATAGGTTAGAATAGGTCGACTTATATTTCAATTTACTGTCTTTGAGATAATAATCTTATATAAACAAACTTCGTGTGATGACTTCTCGGTAGTTTTTTCAATGGTAAACCTATTTTTTTTTTCAATTTTCGGATTTCTCCTATTTTCTTTCAGCTAATAATTGATTTTTTTTGTGACGGGAAAAAAGTTTGGCATTTCATCTCTGTTTGCAGGTTATAAAATGTCACTTTTCATAAATTACTTTTTTCCCGTGGTAAAAAAGTGAGTACTTTTTTCCCGGATATATATCACATATATACACTCTGTTAATGGCTTTTGTTGTGCTATAGTTCCGAAAAATGAGTCAATAATACCGTCTCCGAGAAAGAACTGCAAATCCTTTTATCTTCCATTCGACTTCGCGGTTTCGTATATTACTAAACAACTACTGAATTCGCAATTTTTCAAAATCAAATCACAGAATTGAACTGACAGAAGTGACATCAGATATTTGATTACTTCAAAAGAATGATAAAGATGCCTATAAAACGCAGGTGTCCCTACTACTAAAAACTTGAAATTTCACGTCGATAATTTTCAGATTTCGAAATAATGTAATATCTTCTCAATATTGATTCGTCCTTCCTTCTGTCACAGAAAAAAATAGTGTATTATACACGGGAAAAATATTATATTGTAGCTAAAATTTACTACTTTTTTCCCTTGTATAATAAATAACTATATGTGCCACTTTGATATCCTTTATATTCGAAAGATCAGATTTTCTGACAGAAAATGTCTGATTCGACAGCTATTAATAAAAAAGAATCATGAACTTCATTTTCGAAGTATTTCCAAAGTAAGAACTGTCCTGATTTGTGCAAACTTAGTAATAAAAAAGTCCCATATAATGTGGACTTCAACGGTAACACTGTATATTAAATGTCTTTTCACCTCACCCCGTATACCTCCCACTATCGATAATATTGGATTCAGTCATACTTGTTCGGGAATTAATCGGTTGAAAGGATGACGTAACTAATTAGTCATTAGAATTGTGAATCAAACCAAACAGCAGTCTCGTTATAGATTTCATCGTGTACGGTCGATTCGAGTGATACACCCTGCATTTTTTTCCATATTCAGTTAGGGATTATTATAACGAAATGAACGATACTGGGTTTGATAGTTATTTCAAAGGATCACGAGCTAATATCTGCTCAATTAGTGTGACAGAGAAATAAGTTTCGATATTGCGCCGCGACCGGTGATACGTTTTTTTATTCCTGCTACGAATTATATTCGATTCATTCCGAATATTTCTTCCAGATTTTATATTTGTTATGGAAGGCGATATATTAGACACTTTTTCGATAGTCACAGTTATGTCTCAATGGAGACACGACAGGAACCCTTACGAAGGGAGTGTATCAACCCTAGGCATCGGTAAGCCCTCATTGTAACCGGGGTAGGGGCCTGATGGGTTAGGTATATAAACTGATCTAAAAAAGATAAGGATGTTGTTAAAGGCAAACGACATTGATATTATTACCCATACACATTTATTCTTGGAAAATGTCTTCATAGCTAATAGAAAACATCCTCAACTCACGCAAAAGACATAGATATATCAGCTATACCACATTTTTCCCAGAAAAATGTCATCAAATCAAAAAGACAATATTCTTAACTTCTTTCGATCAGTTTATACAGTGTTTCTCATGAGGAGAAAAATGTTGGCCTCGCTGTTGGCTATTTTTCATTTTTTCATTTTCATTTTTTGAGTAATAGAAGTATGTGTCGTGTTTCAGCAACGGAATTTGAAATCAGTTTCCATACATATTTCAGTTTCTTATTTCATGATTCTTCCGATTTATTCAAAATAACAGATTCATTACCAACTTTGTTCAAGATCAGAGAAGCAATGTGTTCAAATATTCTACATTATTTTTGTTTTCAATATTTTCGATAATACAGGCCATAGATTCTAGGACTATCCGGCAAAATTTTGGGATTTTTGACTTTGGCCTCATGTTCTAGTAGGGCTAACTGGTGAGAGGGGAAATATTAGCCCTCATTGACCAAGAATAATAGTCTATGGAAATGGAATAATAATCATGATACTGGATTTTCAAGACTAACAGAAGTTATATCACATGCTCTAGTGCTACGTTTTTTCAACTCCAAGATCCCAAAAGAAATTCAGACAGATGCTACTAAAGGACTCAGAGCAGTTTTATTACAAAATCAACAACCTGTGGCATTTGCATCAAGAACTATGACTAACTGTGAAACTCACTATTCACAGATTGAGAAAGAGTTTATGGCTATAGTATTCTCTACAGAAAAAAATCATTATTATATTTATGGTAGAAGTTGTTTGATTCATAGTGATCATAAGCCCTTTAGAGTCAATTTTCAAGATGGATCTTTACAAAATTCGATCAAGACTATGTAGGATGAGGTTGATATTATTTTGATTTAAACATCACTGTTCAGTATTTACCTGGAAAGGACTTGGTCATCGCTGATTACCTCTCCAGGAATTATCAGAAGGAACATGTATTAGATGATCCTGAGTTACATCAAATGATTCATAGTATTTCCATGACTGATAAAAAGATGTTTCAAGATGCTACTAAAAATGATGAAACTTCAACAATGGTAATGAAATTTTGTAAAATTGGTAGGCCAGAAAAAAATACTAATTTTATAGGCTAAACAAAATTATACCAAAGTTACAGGCAGTTTTCATCAACTAATGAAGATTTGGTGTTTTTCAATGATAGATTAGTTATCCCTTTATCACTCAAACATACTCTACTCAATTTGATACATCATGGACAATTGTAAATTGAAAAATTTAGAGCAAGACAAGTTTTCTTTTGGCCAAAAATGTCTAATGATATTGACAATTTCATGTGAATGTGAAGTTTGTTGTAAGTTTCAACGTCAAAATGCAAGAGAACTGATGCCTCATCCTGTTCCAGAAAGACCATGACAGAGGATTTCCTCAGACATATTGAATTTTCATAACAAGGAATACTTGGTTGTCTATGATGCTTATTCAAAATGGCTAGAGCTGGATGTGCTGAAAGAAAAATTTGAAAATGGAGCAATCAATATACTAAAAGTTTTTTTTTTACATTTTGGAGTCCCAGAAATATTTGTATCAGACAATATGCCTTAAAATATTTGCAGATATGATTGATATCAAATGTATAACATCAAGTCCTTGTTACCTCAGGTCTAATATAAAATATTTGCAGATATGATTGATATTAAATGTATAACATCAAGTCCTTGTTACCACAGGTCTAATGGGTTATCTGAGAAAGCAGTATCAATTGCAAAAAACTTGCTGAAGAAAAATGTAAACATCAAGTTAGCTCTACTTAAGTAAAGAAACACTCCTATAGTATCCATAGGATACTCTCCAGTGCAATTAATACAATCTTGTATGTTGAGAGATTTGATGTCATTTTCTACTAAAGCATTAGAACCAAAAGTGGTAAAACCTGAGCTTGTCATAAATAAATTACAGAAAATTCAAGGAAGTCAGAAGGAGTATTATGACAGAAGAACTTGAGCACTTAATGGTCTGAAAGAAGGGGATCAAGTTAGGATAAGAAAAGGAAACATATGGAGTCCAGGAAGTATATTGGAAATATATGGAACCCCTAGATCATTTATTGTACTAGAGGAGAATAATGGTCAGGTAATAAACAGAAAATGTGATTGAGGAATTCCTTCATAAATGTCCTATAGAAGAAGAAAACAATAATCAACAGAATGAAGATGAGGTAATAATGATGTAAACAAAAACAAAAATTGAATTGGTGAAGAACAAAATATGCTGACAGAAAATGAAATAGAACATATTGAAGAACAAGATAGGCAGAGTAATATAAATGTTCTGACTGTTAATCAAGTTATTAAAATACTACTTATAAAAGGTCTCAACAACTTAAGTTATGTTACATAAATATAAGTAAAAGAAAGTATCTTATGAAGTCTGTGAAATTGAAAAGCAAAAACAATTCTATTTATATGTACAAATGAGCAATTAGCTGATGTATTCACTAAATCCTCCAGTAAGTTCATTCCTTTCATGAAACTGTTGAATGTGAGTAGTATTTGAAAATATTATTTCATCACCAAATTGAAAAGCAAAAACAATTCTATTTGAATGTACAAATGAGCAATTAGCTGATGTATTCACTAAATCATCCAGTAAGTTCATTCCTTTCATGAAACTGTTGAATGTGAAAAATTGACAATCTGATATGATTTGAAAATTTTTATAGACACTGCCATCACTGCTAGGTTTGAAGGAGGGTGTCAATAGATGTTGTTAATATATAAAGTAAAAAAACACACTGTACCTAAAGTATATAAGAAACCCACTCAGGACTAGAATGAAATGTTTCAAACTCACTTTTCAATAGGTATATATTGGGGGCACATTATTTCTTCTGTCCTTATAAGATATTCTGTAGGAGAAAGAAAATAGCCAGGAAAATAGGTACCTACTGTTTTTCATGTTTCAAATGTGTCTGCTTTTACAATGGTTCATGGGAAAAGGTTTAATTCTCCATTTAATTAGATTGCAGACAATTATTTGTTGACTACTTTGTAACACCTTATTTGTTATTTGATAACTCACCTTTTTTGCTTTACTTTTATCTTTTGGTATTCCATCTTTTTCCTCAACTATAACTTCCTCTGTTACTGGAAACTGAGGTGGCAGTCCATATAATTCAATTTCTCTCCTCAACTTATCAGCACATGCTTTTATTGGCATTCCAGTACAGTGAAATGCAAAAGGGAAAAGAACATTTTTTCCTTTGAGTCTATGGTACCTAACAGCAAATTCACATTTTGAGAGACTGAATGTATGTCCTAGATGTAAACGTCCATTCATATAGGGGTATGGAAAATTGCAGAAGAATTTCTCATTATCGGATTTAGAAGGTTCAGCAGGTGCATCAATTTCAAATACCTTTTCTTCTTTCCATCTCTCCTGGACTTCTCTTTCAATTTTAAGGAGATAAGCTACTTTAAATGTACCCTTTCTTTCTACAGAAGTCTGAAAATGAGAATAATTCATGACAAGTATTTTGTGCTGTTGATTTAAATGCTTGATAGTATCTGAGCTTACCATTATCATAAAATTCTCACTATATTTCTACAAAATGTATAATATTGCCTCAGCTACACATATGGTGATAAAATCAAATCTAAACTTGTCATAACTTATAACCTCAAAGAATTTCAAAAAATCAAAATTATAACCAAACAATATCAAACTCATTTTTTATTTTTCAGTTTCATCTCTTGAAGTACTTAGGCCTTAAGCTCCCTAGACAGAGGATAAAATCTTTAAGTCAATTTCAAATCGGAACCTAGAGAGTAGGAACGGAAAGAGAGAGTAAGAACGAGCTTCAGAATTAATCGTACAGAGGGCGATGCGAATAAGTAGATTTCAGCAACCCTTGATTTGAACATTTCTTGTTGCCTATCCTATGGGGAATATAATGTTTCACTTTTATACGTAACGTATAATATGCATTTGTTCCATTTGTTATGTAGGTTGAACAAACGCTTCGTTTCTGCTAAATACTTTTAATGCTAATAATTTGTTTCAAACTTTAGTTATCAAACTTGTTGTAGCGGTCAAAATATTGATTTCATATAGATATCCGAAATTCCTATACGAGGTTTGGATGGAATAAATTCATACGAAACGAACGACCATCGATTTTAAATACGGACACGATTCATATCATATAGAAAAGAAAACTTCAATGACTTTATACTTATACAGTTAGCTCATTATTAGAATAAAGCAATTATATGAATGAAAATACCAATAGCTGTTAAATGTTTCATGGATATTTTCAGTAGTAGATAAGTAGGTATAATATATCTATAACCGAATAAAATAGTTTTCAGCCAAACTTCCCATTGCTGCATGAGGAATCTTCTCAAACAGAAAACAGGTCGATTTTTAATCTCAATTTGCCACTTTCATAAGAAAAATTGAATATACAGTGTGTTCCACATTCGAGTAATGATACGCCCCCGATTTTTTCTTATATTGGAAGTTAGAAATGAGTAGTCGAATATACCCATACATTTGTTTCGTGAGTATGAATCCAGTAGGTACATATAGACTTATTTGTTTTAATTCCCAATTAACAAAAATTCGATGTATGTGTTTATTCTTCAATAATTGATGATGCAGCATATACTTATATTCTTTCGAATGAAATAACAAAAAATTTAAAATAATCTGAAGTTATCTGTCTATCACTCTGTATAGGGGTGTTTTTCTTGAACTTACAGAGGGCATATATCAAACTTGATATAAAGAATTAATTTTGAAGAAATTAAACAAATATGGAATCGGCTGAAAGGTTTTCAATTGGTTTGAGAGCTATTTACAAATAGAGAACTGGATATTTCAAAAATATTCTCTGAATTTTCTAAAAAGAAGGAAAATATTCCGAATATTCACCGAATATTTCTAGAATATATACACGCTACTGGAAAATGAATAGGAATATTCCGATGTGAATATTCCAATATAATATTGTCCGAATATTCTAGGTGGATTGTTCATGGAATATTCAATTATGAATGTTCCAGGAGTATTCCCAACTGAGTATAATATAAATATGTTGTATGTTGAATAAATTCATGAATATTCAAATCTGAACATTCTGTGTTGAATATTCATGAAATATTCTCGAGTGAATATTCTGTGTTATTCATTCATGAAATATTTCATGAATTTTCCCATGTTTTTCGATAAAATTGTATAGCATGAACACCAATGATCAATTTAGAGATGTGATCGAGTATCAAACATTTATAAGGTACGTATATGTAACGAGATTTTAAGTTGTAAAATGCGTACACCAGTCACAACAAGCTGAAAACACTGCAATTAATGAACATTTAACGAAGAGTTTCATAATATACATATAATACACTGATTTTTGTTTAAAAATTGAGAAATTATATGTTACCTTCGTATATTTATCAAGTGAGCTGAATTATTTTCAAGGTGTACTCACATATTGTCACAATAGATAGTAAGCAGCAGAATATTCTGAAAATGTTTTATGTGATACTTTATTTTCAAAAGATCTAGCCTTGCTCAACAACTTGCTGTTTGTGCTATGGAAAGATGAGTGTCACTAGACAGTTTTGAAAAACCGTGTGTGTTATTCGTGAAAGAAAATTATTGATTGAGAAAGGAGAAATTTGTAAATTACCCAAATTATCTATCTATTTTTTTTTCAAATAAAATATGTCCTCAAATCATGTATCTGAGTAGTATGTTTCCATTTATTGACTTCTTGTATTTATTTTAGATTGTACCGTAATGAAGAGCGCTGTGCTAATAAAGTTTAATACAACTATGCATATGACGGAAGAAATTTGCAGACGTCTCTCCTACTATTACGTTCATTGAGCATTAGATTGTTTTATCATAAATTACATATTGTCATTATAAAACAATGTATGCAAATATCTCTCAAATAATAAGACCAACATAACTTATCTATTGACGTTTCTGTTTGAAATTATTGTCATTATCACTATTATCATGGGATCAACGAGACATTATTAATATCACAGGATTACTATGAATAGAAAAAGTGGCTCATTTTCAATTGATGACAAAAGGAAGGAAAACAAAAAGGTTCATTGATGTCTTAAAATAAATCCTGTAGTTGATATAATATATTTAAATAATGATATAATAATAATCAGCACTGCAGTAGGCCATGGACCAAACAGCACGTCAGCATATATATTATTGGACCATCTATCGTATGTATGCGATCTTTGATCAAACAGATTATCAAGTTATTTTTATGCGACTTTGCGCAGATTTTTGCACCAGAATTTCAATACACTGAAATAATTTTCAAATTTTGGCGAATGATTCTGGCGAAGGAGGAGTGCACCTTCCGCCAAAATTTGAAATTGAACGAATATAGCTGATAATTTAAAATCAACATGCTGTCGAACAATCTACTAGAAAGCACCACTAACTTTGGTTTCTCAGAATTCACCCTCTTGTTTAATTCGGCTCATCTTTTTATTCTCAGTTCAACGATTGGTACATATACATCATTCAACCTGTGTGGCGGTCGGGTTCGGATAAGAAGAACCCCACGGTGAGTCCTGCCTGTCATGGAAGGCGACTAAAAGGACGCCAATAGGTGGAAAATGGCTAACACATCGACCCTGGCCGCTGTGAAATGGGTTACATTCATGTTTCAGTTGCTGGTTGACCGTTCCGGCCAACCCAACCCGATCCAATTTCCTTTTCCTTTCATGCCAACCTTATTATTTCCCTTCAATACATAAAAAGCGATGATGAGTTCTCCCCAAGTGAAGTTACCCGGAACGAAAGTACATCACAATTCGGCGAGAGGTGCTAGAGGAGGTTCACCATCGGCTGATAAATGCCTCAAGATAGACCTACGTAACATGTGGTTTGAGTAAGAACATCAACGATGTCCATCGACAACTTCAAACTAAAATGCCAGACATATTGGCTCTTACTGAGACACGGGTCCATTCATCCAACAGTACGACCTATATGCTCTGTTCTGGGTACGAACTCCACACACGCTTCAGGTTCGAGGAAGGTTTCTGTCCCTACTCCAAAACAAATCTCTCATGTCATCGAGAAAACACTTTGGAACCAAATGAGTTTGATCTTATGTGGTTCAAACTCAATATCCAGAAACAGACCAATGTCTTTATTGTCTCTACTTAACACCAAATGATATTTCCTATGAAGAGCTGTTGGAGTTCTTGCCCCTGGAACTTTACCTTATCTAGCAGAACAATCCAGCAGCAATAATCATCAACATGGGCGATTTCAATGTACATACCCAACACTGCTTGGCTCGTACAGTCCAACAAAACGGATGAAGCTCACTCACGGCTTAGAGCAGCTTATCAAGGAATCCACACGAATTCCCGATGTCAATAACCATTCTGCCAATAGACTCGACTTATTCCTCACTAATAATTCAGCACCGTACACCATAGATGTACAAGATCCACTTGGCAATTCTGATCACACTCTCATCTCCACAACCTGCCCATTTTTCATTCCATAAACTGCAACAGCACCCCCACGTCTTTTATGGCACTTCAACTCAGGAGACTGGCACGGTCTCCGCATGTTTTCCTCGGAGTCTCCTTGTCATAGAATATGCTTGGATTTTGATTCACAGTGAGATCATCATGCACGCTTGGAATGGACACATGCATACCTCATTCTTCAGAGAGATCACCATCTTCGAAACCCTGGTTCAGAACTGCTCTGCTCTGTTGGCTTGAAACAAATAGCCTACCATCGCTGGCGCAAAAACCCTAACAACGTGACAAGAGCAGAATATGTCGAAGCCAAGAATAACTACAGCCTAACAAAAGATGCATCAAAAGGGTCATAAAATGCCAAAATATGATTGATACTCATAGATTGCCCCAAAGACTCCCTTTCGTTGGTCCCTTGCTGAAGCAATAGTTCATTCCAACCACTCTCCAAAGCCGACGGTACATTAGCAACAACATCGCAAGAGGAAGCATACATTTTCGTAGAGATGTTCACAGCAAACTCCACCTCAAATTCCCAGGGAAGGGTACCGCCAGTCATTCCACGAGTTGAAAGTCGAATACCCAAAATAGTCTTTCGTCAACGCACTATCAGACACATTCTGATCGGTCTCAGAACAAATACCTTAAGGCTAGCGGTCCTGATGGAATTCCACCCATTGTTATCGAAAAGTGTAACCAGAATTAACACCGATTCTCTGCATGTTATTCACCATCTCGTATGAGTCAGGTATTTTTCCATCTTGCAGGAAAACCTATCCCCAAAAAAAGGAACTAAAGCCTGCCCAACAACTATAGGCCAATTGCCCTGTAATCAGGCATCTCCAAAGTGATGGAGAAAGCCATCAACATTGAGCTCATCAAATATCTGGACAGCTATCAGGAATCATTAATGATAGACAATATGGCTTTCGCCACCAAAGATCTAGACAAAAGATATTTTTATGAACGAATTTCCCTGTTAACCTGACGAGTACGCACTGATGATGACTTAACAGTCGAAAGCGCTCTGCTACGAATATTTTGAATAAATTTCTTGCACGAAATACATATCTTCCCTTCTTTGGATATATTCCACAAACTATCATCATACGGCTTACCACTTCAGCTATGCCATCTTTTATCGAGTATTCTTTCAGGCAGATCGCTCCATGT